TCAACATCTATGGTAATCAGCTGTGCTGATGTGCTATTACCAGTCATTACTAAAATGATCAACCTGTCTCTTAATTCTGGAGAATTTGCGGATGATTGGAAATGTGGGCTTATTAATCCTATCTTGAAGAATCCTGGATTGGATTTGCTGTACAAAAATTACAGACCAGTTAGTAACTTACAATACGTATCCAAGTTGACTGAAAAAGTCGTTTTTAATCAAGTTTACGACCACATGGTTTCAAATGCTATTTTTCCTGCGCTTCAATCTTCTTACAGGCAATTCCATAGCACTGAAACTGCACTTATCAAGGTGATGAACGATATTTTGTTAAAGATGAACTCTCAACATGTCACTATGTTAATTTTATTGGATCTCAGTGCTGCCTTTGACACTGTTGATCATCGAATTCTTTTAGAGAGGCTATCTGACGAGGTTGGCATACGTGGGACTGCTCTGAATTGGTTTAGATCGTACTTGTCTGATAGAAGTCAGCGCGTTTCTGTACATGGAGTTCTTTCTCGTCCTTTTGACTTGAACTGCGGGGTACCCCAAGGCTCATGTTTAGGGCCTTTGCTATTCATAATATATGCGTCCAAGCTGTTTAAGATCGTGGAACATTATCTTCCTGATGCTCACTGTTTCGCTGATGATACGCAGCTGTATCTGAGTTTTAAACCACTCGGCAACACTGCTCAAGCTGATGCTATACAAGCTATGGAAAAGTGCATTGACGCGGTGAGGAAATGGATGATTCAAGATCGGTTGATGATCAATGATGATAAAACGGAGTTTTTGTTAGTCGGCACACGACAACAGCTTGATAAATTAGATTCGTGTTCCATAACTGTGGGCAATAATCGTATCAGTCCAAGCCCATGTGTTAGAAACCTTGGATCGTGGTTTGACAGCAACTTAAGCATGACTGATCATATAAACAAGGCTTGTAATGCGGCATTTTATCATTTACATAACTTGAGACGTATTAAGAAATACCTGTCGAGAGATTCTTTAATTACTTTGGTTCATGCTTTTATAACCAGCCGTCTTGACTATTGTAATGGTTTATTGTTTGGCTTACCAAATGTGCAGATCGCTAAATTACAGCGTGTACAAAATGCAGCAGCAAGACTTATTCTTGGCATTGGAAAGTTTTCTCACATTACACCGGCGCTTTATGAGCTGCACTGGCTGCCAGTTTCTTTGCGTATTGACTATAAGATTTTACTTTTGACTTTCAAATGTATTTATGGCCTAGCGCCAACTTATCTTAGCGATCTTATTAGTATAAAATCGAATTCATTATATAATCTTAGGTCTACTGGTAAGCTCTTATTGGACCATCCCAAGGGAAAGATGCTTACAACATTGGGAGCAAGATCATTCTCAGCAGCAGCTCCGAAACTCTGGAATGAGCTACCTGTGGAGCTTCGTCAAGCAACATCACTTGACAGTTTTAAATCTCGACTTAAAACCTATCTTTTTAAGAAGTATTTTTATAGTTTGTAACTTAGTTCATTTTATTATCACGGTAATGTATTTTCGTTTCCTTTAAACATATGATTGTAAAGCGCTATTGATCAGCACGTGTAAATACGCGCTATATAAATTGGTAAATTATTATTATTATTATTATTTATTTATTTTCAGTCTCTCAGGTTTTGTCCTGACCGATGTTTCGAAAAACTGATGAACTTATTAACCTTAAACACTGAAGGCTTTTTTCGCCCCATGTAACAGAATCCAAGACAGTCTGGGATTCCGGATTCCTGGTCCTGGATATCGGATTCTTTGTCAGTGGAACTTGGATTCTGGATTCCAATCGTAAGTGGGATTCCGGATTCCTGCTGCTGTTTTCCGAATTCCAGAGCCCAGGATTCCGGTCTCCACAAGCAAAAATTTCTCGGATTCCAGAATCCGGTTTCCCTTAAATGGGGCGACCTTTTCTTGTCCCTTGGAATAGTTTCCTTTCTCATCACTCATTAAATTAATGTCTTATATAGGAGTTAACTATAAATTCTTATCTTTTCATGTTCTCCTTTCTCTAGAAACACCTTGTGCTACCCTATGCCCCAGAGGACCCCTACGGAGAAGAATTCAGCACGGAGACAATGAACATTATGGACGCCATTTTAAGCCGCATCGGTTTGGATGATAATGCTCTGGGTCCGAACTGGTCTTCTACTGAGCGAATCGTTCACAAGTTTCACGTAATTGACGTCTGGCATAGGTTCACGAGAAGTTTACCAGGAAGTTGAGCAAACCCCTGACAGGTAGGAACAACTTACAATCTTAGCGAGGGTGTTCATAATACACTCGTCCTCAAGCGGAGAGAAGTAATTATAGGTTGAAGTTTGATCGGAATTCTATCTCGCCATGAAACTGCACCAAGAACTGCAAACTGATTTCGCGCACTCAAGGCACTGATTGTGCGCGTGCGCTTAGCTATCTTATGGGTGCCCTGTGCAATATTTGCACATTGGTGTTAATTTAGTATGACATCATCCATGAAAGCTGTGCTTTTATTCGCAGGATGATCTTTGTGAATGTTTATTGGACACCACTTCTAATGGTATCTACCAGGCGGTACACTGGGTGGCTGAACACTATAAATCAGGAACCCCTATCACCCTTCTCAACCGACCAATTCCTAAGCTGAAGAACGCAAAATCCTGGAAAGTCTGGAAGAAACGTTTGCATCCATCGCTTTACGATAGCAGCCTGTTCTTGTACAGCGCTACCAAAGACTTCTGAGACGGTGGCCGGTTCTGATACTTTCCCCAATTTCTATCCCATTTGAATGGTAACCCGGAAGATTTTCATTTACAGATTCTAAAGAGGCAACAGTGTACTGTTAGTACGAAAACCAACCCAAATGCATCAGGTGAAATAGCACAAAATAAGTACAAAATTAATTCGAGACCAACCCGTTCTTCTTCAGTTTGAAGAAACCGGATTATTCATGATCACTTACCACAATATGATTTCCACAAGAACGTAGTTTTACGTCACTGACAGCACTGTCCTTTGTTTGTTTTCGCTAAGCGTTTTAGCAGATAAGAATAAAGATTGTATTACTGTTTGAATTTTGAACTCTCTTGAGTTTTTCCCTACCACACTTTCTAACTACTGAATTCCACACCAATCAACACTCCAGTGAAAGATGATAAAAGTTCGAAATTTCAGACGTGTTCTCGCCCTAGTTCCGCTAGCGCCGGCGGGTAGACACGAGCTCGGGCCGGAAATGTGCGACATTTCAGACCAAAGGCCTGTATTCAAAGCCCTTTCTCAACTTAAGTGAGGTGCTCTTGAGGAAGGAGCTATGAGTCTCTATGTGATGTAGTTTTCAATTGTCTGATGGTTTACTGACCTAAAACTGGAAAAAAATTCAACATAATACCGTGTTCTTTATTAACAAATCGATCAAAGAAAATCAGTTTTGAATATATCTGATAAAAAAATCACACTAATATACCCAACGCTGCCCCTTTTTAACAAGCTAAAATGATGTTTTTGTACTCGAGTTTTTTTAGTATTCCAAATTCTTCAACTTTATTTCTGAAAAATTACCTTCCGCATTACAGCGAAAAAAGTACATAATATGTGCTTCTACAACAAGAAAATAAATTGTTTACAATAAGGACTAATCCAAGCGGCAAATCCAGTTTGACTGGACAAACTGATAAATTTATAATTCCACACCGTTATCTATCTAATCATTCTAGTAGCCTGTTCTAGGCTCCCGAGAAGTGCAGCGATCGTGAAATCGCCCACGCCTTAAGGGAATCCAGAAGTCTGGATTCCACGCCATGGATTCCGGATTTCACGTACCGGATTCCGGATCCCTTGTCACTGGAACTTGGATTCTGGATTCCAATGGCTGGTGAGATTACGGATTCTTTGAGCAGTATTCCGGATTCCAAAGCTCAGGATTCCGGATTCCAACTAGACCGGCAAAAATTTTCCGGATTCCTTTACATGGGGTGAACGAAAACTTGAGCGTCTGTTGACCTTGTTTTCGTAGACTGCCAGCAGTCTCTCTTTTTTTCAGATTTAGTGAGGAGAGTGCACGCGCGCGCGAGGGGCGAGAGACGCGAGAAATGAGGGCGGGAGCTCGAAAAGAAAAATGAACCTCTTTCGTCTCGCGCCTTCAGTCACGCGCGTGGTCATTTGCGTGTTCTGATCGATGGAACAAGAAAAAAGGGAGACTGCTCGTAGTCTATTGTTTTCGCGACGCTGGTATTATATGAGAACTTAGCAAAGGCTATCCTGATGACGGCAAAAACGAATTCTAAGTTTCTTTTTACATTTAAACTATCTTCTTGTATTAAAATATCTGNCGAAAAGAAAAATGAACCTCTTTCGTCTCGCGCCTTCAGTCACGCGCGTGGTCATTTGCGTGTTCTGATCGATGGAACAAGAAAAAAGGGAGACTGCTCGTAGTCTATTGTTTTCGCGACGCTGGTATTATATGAGAACTTAGCAAAGGCTATCCTGATGGCGGCAAAAACGAATTCTAAGTTTCTTTTTACATTTTAACTATCTTCTTGTATTAAAATATCTGCTTGTAGGCTTTCAGCCTTACTAACTATTTGGATAATAAGCAACATCCCTACAATATTCAACGGTTTATTGTCAGCTCGCCTGACATGATTCATCCAATGTAAGTCGATCTAAGCAACATGCGAATATCTGCACATTTTTTAGTAAAAGTTAAGAACAAACTCCGAAGCTGTTATTTTCGTTTGTTTTGTCTGCACATCTAACGAATTTCTTCTAAAATGACTCAGATAAAATAAGTTCCTTCGTGAACGGGAGCGGCAAACCCAGCGTGCTCACTTGCTCTTTACACTAACCCTAAAAAATATAAGCTCAAAATCCCGCGGAAGCCATGCTAGAGTTTAATTCCTCATATTGAGTACTGAAATATATTTGAATTCATAAGAAGGTTGGTACAAAATTTGGGGCGATCGTAGTTATCTATAACGAATCAATTAATTCTATTTTCTAGGCCGATATTGCTCTCTACGCACAACTACTCTCCGTACCATTCTTTCTGAAACTTCCCTCGTTACATTCTGTTTTTCCAGCAGTTGAACTTGTGGACCAGCTGCTTCCTCCATGTTGACGTCATCTGGAGTTCCTGATGCAATGGCCGAATCCGCTTCCCGCATTTTTTTCATTTCTCTTTGCCATGTTTTGGAGGCAGTGTCAATGCTGTCGTCCAATGAAAACTTGCTTGCTAACTTGGAGCTTGGACCAGTGGTTGATCCATTAATTGCTATGAGGTTAACATGCAAAGATCGTTTAGTGAGCTCTTCTTGAACTTTGGTAAGCAGCTCTTCCAAGACCACCTCTCCGTCGTTCATCTCGATTTCGTCAAGAATAATATCATGAGCTGTACCAAAGAGGCGCTCCATAGATTTATCCACCTCAACGATATAGATAATTATCTATAAGCAAAACACCAAAAACGTTTTTAACGTAAGTTATATTTATTCCTCAAGATGAATGCTTTTTAAAACTTTCATCTTGCGTTAACAGGCGTGGTAGCACCTCCACCCTCAAAACTCAGTTCTAAAGATCAACCCGGATGACGTCACGTCCAATAAAATTCACTGAAAATGCTTTCCTCTATTACAGATCATTAAGAACAAGAAGCGATAGTCTATACTGCGAATCAAAGCTGTAGCAAAATGACTGGTTTGTCCATCCAGTTCCGACAGACTCTTGGTTAAACCTCTTTGTGTTAGGGTAAAAAATGCCAGTGACAGTTGGGCTTACCAGTCAACTCGCTGCAAAATGAAGTCGATTCGCTGCAAAGTCGTTTCGCTGCATCATGTTCGGATGGCGCTGAAATTGACTTTTTGAATAAAACCGTTCAAAAGACACATAAAATTAACTACAAACGAATAATACTAACGAGTTAATTACCATTTCACTGAGTTAATCATCGAACAAACACTAGCAAACTTTGGAGCAGTTTTCAACTTTGCGATGCAGCGAAACGACTTTAAAACTTCCCCTGCGAATCGCCTTGTAGCGAAACGAGCGGACACCTGTATTGGGTAAGGGTCATTCAGATACCTAGCAACATCCACATGTAACCTTTTTTCAGTCATCTACCTTTTCCGTATGTTTACTCGCCTTCAGTTTATAATCTAGTACTAAAATAATATCGAACGAAACGAACCCTAGGAAACAAGCAGTTGTTAATTCCTTTTTGTTAAACGTTCCAGGCAAGAAGAGTCAGCAAGGCGAACTGACCGTAATTAGAGTATTTTCTTTGTCGAGCGCAAGCAGTAAACAAAACCGCGGTCTACCATAACAAAGTGCGTGTGTTCGATCACACTGTACGGTATGAAAGCAAAGAAAGAGGTATATAAAATACTCAAAACTCATTAGGTCGATGCGAAAAGTTTTCTTCACCGAAAACTAACTTTGAAAAACTTTCCGTCGAGCAGAAATCAAAACACCGCACATGCGCAGACGTGTGTCACAGGCTCTTTAACAGATTTAACGTAATTGCATTCTAAGGCACGAGAATTACCTCAGAAACAAGCTTGACACTTTCGCTGTAGATAAACTGCCCGCCAGTCATCAGGGAAATTCCTGTAAAAAACTCTGCCATGAGATCAATACGACGTCCAGGGTTTGGAAGATAGAGAGGTATTCCTGGCTTCGAACTCCTCATCACCACGTAAAGTGTAACGGCATTCGCAGCAAGTTGTCTACAGAGGCTTAAGACATCATGGTCATGGGTACATGTACATTTGAAAATATCAAGAGTACCAACTTGAACTTCTAAAGCTGTAATTGCAAATAACAATCATCATCAGCATCATCATTGACCCTTCCACGGGTATCACGACTGGAACAAACCCCTTAAAATCAGTAATGTTTCCAACTTTTAAAGTTGTTTAAAACTCACGAAGACATAGGTCCAAAAAGCCGCGAAATTTTACAGCCGTTTCTATGGTGCGGGGCGGGGGGGGGGGGGCACGTTTGTGCCCCCCCCCATAAAAACATTTGTAAAATTGTGCGACTTTGTGGGGAAAAATATTCTTTCTTTTTCACCGTATCACATTTAAACTTGAAAATTTTCATACCTTTAAGGCTTTTTTTCCCGCAGTGTTAAAAGTTAGGAAACTTACCAAGTTCAAATGTGATACGTCCAAAGCGAACGAAGATTTTTCTCCACAAAGTCGCAGAATTTTACAAATGTTTGTATGGTGGGGGGCACGAACTTGCCCCCCCCCCCCCCCCCTCCCCCCTCCCACTCTCCCCCCCCCGCGGATACACACAAAAAAAAAACCCATAAATAAAAAATTATTTCACAATTTTAAAAAATTTTAAAAACCCAAAAAAAAAAGAGGACAAAAAGCCGGGGATTTTTTGGGCGTGGTTGGGGGGGGGGGGGGGGGGGGGGGGGGGCAAGTTCGTGCCCCCCACCATACAAACATTTGTAAAATTCTGCGACTTTGTGGAGAAAAATCTTCGTTCGCTTTGGACGTATCACATTTGAACTTGGTAAGTTTCCTAACTTTAAGGCTTTTTTTCCAGCAGTGTTGATAGATATTCGTTTACGGGTCTTTATCAAAACTTGAAAAACTGTTGAAGGAACCATTGACAACTGAAGGGGTCACGTGTCTGGAATAGAGCCCCCAAGTGACTTTTGATAAACCACTAGTAGATTTTCCTTATCTTGTAACTCGAAAGGAGCAGATATTAGATCAGGAGTAAAGGGTCTTATTTCAAATTATAAAACTCCATCAACAGTAATACATGTATCATGTACTGTATGTTCTTAAGGGTTTTTGTCAAAATCCCTGCCTACATCACACCTTTTCAGTAAATTAACTCTCTAAAAACCAGGCATTGTCCTCAACAGAACTGGAAGATATTACATGGCCGCCTGGAGATAAGAAATGTCTGTTCGAGAGTTGTAAAAAAACATAAACATAAACATAAACATAAACATACACTCGAAGAGAAATTTTGTGCATGTACCTCCAAGCAGACATGTAATATGTTCTAATTACACTGTATTATAAAAGAAGAACATTTCACTTAAATATTTTTTTTTCTGCAGAAGGCGTGATTTAGTGTAACTGTAGCAACAGTGATCATTTCATGTGTGAATATAACATGGTATTTTCACACGAAATGTTGAAAGTCTTAGTAATTTTTTCCCATTGCAAACATGCATACTCACGCAGCAATACACAGACTGTGAGGGCTTCTCGGCGGCATTTATAATCATTCTTACAATCATCATCATCATTGTTATTGCTTAGGTGAACAGCTAAAGCCAGTCCATCAGCCAGGCCTCTCCTAGAGCCACTGTTACCAAAACACCTCAAGCTGGTGATGTTCTCTTTCATTTTTGATTTGTCATCCGTGAAGTTAACAACAGAAGCTATGTTGGAAACAGATGCAGTTTGGCCTCTTCGTCCAGGATTGGGATGATTTTGGTAACTAATTATTGCCAGACGGAAATGGGCACTTTTTTTGGACATGGCATCCACCATATGCTTTAGCTGTGTCTTGAGCTGCCCAAGAATGGCAGCATTTGTGGTAGCACAGTCAACAACAACTATCAAATCTAACTTTCGATCATCATGCAAGCAAGGTGCATGATGAGACACATCTATAAATAGAAAGATTACAATAGGTCAGTCTTATTTTCAAAAAGTGGGAAGGTTGATTCACTAATCAATGGAGGTGGGATTGAAATTTTGCCTTCTACAGTTTGGCGAACTTCAGAAGCTACAATGTACCATCAGGAACAAAAGGTAGCATAGTGCTTGACTTACAAATAATGCTTTGGACAGCTTTGACTTTTTTTGCAAGTAGGGTCGACCAGAAAACAGCTCAAGAAGCTTTCAGTGGCACCTTATGAAATGACTTCCATGGATGAATGAGTTACGCACAGTACATGTACCTAGTTTGATAGAGATATCCACTTTTGAGCTACATGTAACCTTACTGTGAAACCAACAAAACAGTCACCACCAGAGCCTAGTTTTTCGAAAGGTTGATAATGCTATCCACTGAATAAATCACTATTCAGTGGATAATGCAATAATTTATTAGTTTCCCTAATACTTCTCTGCTGGATGATGATTTATCCAGTGGATAACACTATCTAACATTTGAACAACTGGAGCCAGAAATATTTCTGGAATGCTATTGTGCTGCAAGGAAAAAGCAAGGAAAAAGCCAATCAGGCATTCATAATTTTAGGCCTAGATTTTTGATAGTTTTTTTTTCTTATCAATGCTTGATTTTTGATTTGTCATGACCTTTGCTGTGATTTCAATAACACAATAAAGGTTCCAGAAATATTTTAGGTGTTCACAGTTTTGGTAGTTGACAGTAAAACAAACAAAGCTGCTCATAAAAATAATACTAAATTAGGTAAGAAAGACAGCAAAAGATGAATTTTAGTTATTTTGATAAACTGAACCACCCATAAACAATCTTTGTAGCCAGTCCTCATCCCTTGTGCCACTACCCCTTCTATTTCTAAAGGTCATAGATAACTTTATAACTTTGAGTATGTACAAACAACTACAAAGTGGTAGAGCTACCAGAGGCTATATTCTGACAAAAAAGGTAAAAGGCTATTTTCTCTATCAGAAAAAAAAATGATTATTGTATCATGAGGGTATAACAACATCCTTCTATTCCAACCAAATACCAATGTTTAAAAAATATTGTAAATCTCCAAAGATAAGAATTTTACAGTGTCTTAGTTCATGTATGTCATAAGATTTCTAATAGATCACTATTGCTCCCAGATATCCTGTCAAGTCAGGGCTTAAATTTCACTTTGCCTTGCAGGCTTATTATAATTTCCAAATGCTGACCACGTGATACAAAAAGTTCTTGCTCAAAGTTGAATACATTAAACTGGTGGCAAGACTGATTAACATTTTAGTTGCTGCTGGTTCTACTTTCCCCAAACAAGAATTTTTGTATCAACCAATCAGTTATAAAACTGTAGAATACAATTAATGGGCCACTAGACAAGGAGAAATTTCAGCCATTTAAGAACACCTGGGATCAATAGTGCATGATCAGTTGTGATTTGGGATCAAGAAGTCCATTGGGAAAACCAAGATGAGGGAGGAACCTTTCCCTCCCCACCCTCTGTACCAAGGTGGCAATAGCTTAATGACTGTACAGCTGTTAGAAGGAAGGAAGGAAGCATCCTACCTTGTGAGCATGGAAGATTAGCTTCTGCAATGGATGTCGGAACAGAACGTGTAATTGGTGTCTGCATATGGATCTCAGACTTGTCACCAATTTTTACGGCTCTGACACCACATTGGGCAAGCCAGGGTTCCTTTTCTAAGGCATTTAGACAGAGTTTATCCACCACTTCTCTTCTATTAGGCAGTTCAAACATTAGGTTAAACCAATTTGAAGCAACTTCTTCACACTTTATGAAGTGGCATTCACTAGGGTCAATGCGGAGAACAAGGTTCATGCTGTTTGTCAGTGCACCCACAGTGTCTGGCACAATGAAGTGTTGTCTTTGAGATGCAAACGAGAAACAAACCTTTTCCACAGCTGCAAATAAAATATATCATCAAATGCCATGTCTGTATGATCTTTAAACAATTGTAAAGGCTGGGGTAATATCTCAAAGAAAAATGTTATCATTTGTAAACAAATAAATAAATAATAATAAAAGTAGGTTTTTATGGTGCATTTAAAGAATTCTCAATGTGCTTACAATAGTAAATAAAGTCTAAATGAAACTATATATAGTAATTATTCCTAAAAAGAAAAGTTTTCAAATTTTGCTTAAAAGTAGAAACAGATTCAGAGTTTTTGATATGATCAGGTAGACTGTTCCAGACTATCATTGCATAAATTATATGAAAATGAGTGGTGTCCTTAAGCCCTAGTATTAACAGAAGGAACTTGTAAAAGCAATCTATTAGATGAGCAGAGTAAACGAGACGGCTGGTATTTGAGAAGGAGTGAAGGCAAATAGAAAGGAGCTAAATCCTTTAAAATTTTAAATCTTAAAAGCAATATTTTAAAATCACTGCATGCACCAATAGGAAGCCAGTGCAAGTCTTTCATGACAGGAGTTATATGGTCAGATCTTCTTGTTCCTAAAACCAAGCATGCGGCACAGTTCTGAACACATTGCAGCTTGTCTATTTCTCGCTTGGGTAAGCCACAGTATAAATTGTTACAATAATCCAAGCACAATGCAACAAAAGCATTGACCATCATCTTAAGGTGATCCTTGCTCAGATACTTGCTCAATCTGCCAATGAATTGAATCGCTAGCATAGCCTTTTTGCATGTTTCATAAATATGATAACTAAGATTGAGCTCTCTATCTAGGTTTACACCAAGATTACAAACTTGGTCTAATGGTTGTACTCTTGGCTAGCATTGCCAATCAAAAAATCACTGAGAATTGGGTTCTTGACAAAACGAGGACTAAACTGAATGACATCTGTTTTCTGTTTGATATTTCGTGGAGTTGCAGAGCCGCGAAATTCAGGTAAATCCATGAAATCCCATGACATTCACAAAAACATGAAAAATACCGTGAAATTCAGTAGAAATCTTATCAAATACATGTCTATATTTGAAACTTATTTCAGCGATAGGGGCTATTTACTTGCCGTAAACTTGCAAATTTATCTTGGAACTTCGTCACTGAAACGTGCAAACAACGTCCCGAAACTACCAGGCGTAGATTAAGTTGTGAAAAACTGGGCACTAGCCATGATGCTAAAGGCTTTACCATTGGTTCATTTCTGGAGGGTATTGTTGTTGATAGAGCAAATGATGACCTCTGTTAGAAAAACGTTAAAAATGCTGGTCTGATCAGCGCAAAACCGATTGATTTCTAGGGAAATTTGCCTTGAAAATAACCTCAAAATCAGCCGTTTTTGACCGATTGCTTTTTGGTGAAGTTTGCCCCGAAAACTCCCGCGAAATCAGCCAATTTTTCCGCGAATTTGTCCCTAAAAATCCCGCGAAATTTGACTTTTGCTTCCGCGACCTATCAGAAGCCCTGGTTTTACTAGGATTACACACTAACTTATTGATGGAGTTCCATTCTATGATTTCACTGATACACTTCTGAAGGGTGTTGAGGGCAGGACATTGATCATGAGGGTGAATAGTTATGCAGAGTTGAGAGTCATCTGTGTAGAACACACAGTCTAGGTTATGAGCCGAGATTATGTCTTGAATGGGTGCTGCATAAAGAATAAACAAGAGAGGACCGAGTATCGAACCTTGCAGAACTCCACATTCTCCCACTGCTAGATGTTGTGTTACCAATAGTAACAGATTGTATCCAACCAGTAAGACAAGACAAAAACCATCTTAGCACTGTGTTGGAAAAACCGAAGTATCTACTCAGCCTATCTAAAAGTATAGTATGGTCTAGGGTGTCAAATGCAGCTGACAAATCAAGCATCACTAAAACAACGTCTCGCCGACAATCAACAGTCCTAAGAACGTCATTCATCACTTGCAGAAGGGCAGTCTCGGTCAAGTGATGTTTACGATAGGTGGATTGCATAGAAGGCATTAATAGATTATCCTCCAAGTATGAATGTGTCTGAAACGTGACAACCTTCTCAATGACTTTTGCTAGGAAAGGAATATTGGCTACAGGTTGGTAATTTTTTAAAACATCCTTGTTAAGACCTGGCTTCTTCAGGACTGGACGAATCAAAGATCGTTTAAGCGCAGAAGGGAATTCACCAGAGGTTAAAGATTCGTTGACAATAGCTGTTATAAAAAAACATTTTGATCAATCTACAAATAACCTGAATCACATTCTGAAATGCCAATAGTGAATACCATAGCCTGCATAGCTGCCAGTTTTTTGGTGTTTTTCTTTGGGTGGTTTGCAAAGTAAAAGATACAACCACATGAGTGCTGAACAGAGGTTGAACCAGGAAACAATGGGGGAGGGGGCAAGAAGGCAATAAGTAGACTGTGAGCAGTCTCTTATTTTTCTTTGCAAAGTTACTGCAAGTGAAACCTAACCACGCAAGCCGCAAAGCCGTGAGCCTCGAGAAGAAAAATAAGAGACTGCTGACTCTTTTGTTTTGTCTGAGGACAACAACGCTGTCAAGGTAATTTAATTAATCAATTAAACCCCGAGTAACTTGAAACGATTTGTAAATACAACTTAAACATCTGAAAAAATTACAATTTCTTTAAATCTGGTAAGATTGCCTTGAATTTGTTTCTGTTGAGGAAATTTACAGCAGTTTCCTTCCGTAAGATATCCTTAAAAGTTTTATTACTGAGATTACTGCTTCAGGTTTGCTATTGTTTGCAGTTGGTTGTGACGCGTGACTATTTTTATTGCTTGCAATCTTACCACAGACCAGTCAATTATCTGTCAACAGCTGTGCAATTGACCAATTGGTTACTTCGTTTCTGGGCTGACGAAGCGTTTGTTTACTGAAAAAGAGTGAGCAGTCCGTCTTTTCTTGTCTGGTCTCAATCCCTTGTTGTAATAATAACGTTGCGGTTTGCAATTGCAATGGATGAGATAAGGACTAGACGGATTTTAAGAGAAAAGGCGGACGGCAAGCAGTCTAGGCAATGAGAGAAACAGCAAACAATTTAGCCCTTGAGACCTTTAAAATGTCCCTTCCAGACTTGGGAAAGGGGAGTTTGGTTTATGACTGATGTGACATGTTTTGAAGTCTGATGTGAGCCGATAAACTGTCACACCAAAGATCGTTGTTATGACTGTTAACAAATGTTATGTTGATAAGTTATTGATTGCATAATTTAAATTCTCTATAAACAATCGGTGTATATGTTGTGGTTAAATTTTATCCTTGGTTTAAATTTTATTTCCATTTAGTATGAATCACTATCATTCGTTACCAACCAGTACCATACCCATACTCGAAAATAAAGGGAAATAAAATCTAACCCAAGGATAAAATTGAACAGAACTACAACATATCAAAGGTTTCAATAGAAGGCAGCTACCAGCGATGGACCGACGGCTACTTTGCTTTATTCCGCCGCCTACTTCGGACAATCAGTCTGTTTTGGACTGATTGCGTGTCATCAACCACTTTCTTTCTTGAAAGTAAAATGGCTTTTCTGGCTTTACTAACTAGGAATTTTAATTCCTAAATCTCCGAATTATAGCAATTTTGTTTGAAAAAATTACTGAGTTTGTATACAAATTCGAGCAAATTACAGAGGGTTACCGTAACAAATCAATGAAAGTCGCATCTACCATCGCATCAAGTTGCAACCAGGAATTCCCTGTCACAGTTGTTATGTAACATTTGCGTGACACTCCACGTGAACTCAAAGCACATGCTTCACCTGTTTTGACTGAAATGGCAGCGAAAAGGCAAGGTGTTCTCGAAAATTTTTCTGCTGTCGTGCCAAAGAAATCAAAAGGTTCACAAGTTATTAGTAATTTTATAATTCGGCTTAGATAGCAATTTGCATTTCAAAACAGTCAGCGACCTTTGAACTTGCAGAATGATGTCATGAGACCAGTGAAAAAAAAAACTTTATTTGTCTGAAGAATAGTTTGGTTGTGGAAGCAACTTCATTAATAAACATTTTTATAACAGGGTGGTTAATAAACTGTTAAATGGCGAAAACAACACTAACAGTGACTCATGTTCCTGCTGCTCTTTTTCCTCTCACGGTTCTTAATCATGAAATATTTTTCTTGCTAGTATTTTATAGTATAAAGTGTTTATGAATTTTGGGTATTTCTGAACTTTCTTAATTAAGTAGCGAACCTTGTCCATTATTTTCTGTTCATTTGCGAAACGTTGGTGGGGCTCATTATCCGTAAGTCTCATTGCTCCACTTCAATAAAAGTACGTAAAATAAGCAGCATAAAAAATTCGACACCAAAAGAAATCAGAAGGTTGGCAAATTCTCTTGAATAATTTTACTGTTATTATACCTACAACTTTTAGTTTTCACGATTACATTTGTGTTCTACTAGAACCTTCTCTGTGCTATGAGGACGCGCTTAAGAAATCAGGCTTAATTTTGCGCGCCAGAGGAGGGAGGATGCGTGCATAACATTTCTCAAGCGAAGTTACTCTTCTTCCGACCTGCTACGAAGCTTAGTGCCGCGAGTTGCCCACACAAGACCGTATGCCCTTAGAACAGGAGAATCTGTTTCTGTGCCTGTCTCCTCAAGAACTAACAGTTTGGGAAATTTTTACACCATCAAATACCAGAATCACGTTTAAAATAGCGAAATGTGATATGTCTTAACATTACAGTTATATTTACATGCCATAATTCCGAGGTATTTGTATGTAATTAATGACCTGCCTAGTAATTCAGTTTATGCTGCAAAAAGGTTTAATAAACGATCATTATAATATTATCATTATTATAACCGACTTTTCTTCTTTTTCTTTCCAACCTGTACAGCGGAAAGTCACAATTGTATCAGTTCCCTTCCATTTTTATAAATCCTCACAGTGCAAAAATCTAGCCTGCGAAAACATCCATTTCTCCTCCCTCTTTGTAGCTGTGGACGTTTCGTGCAGAGGAACGTCTGTGACTCAGTGACAGAAATCCCATCCTGGTGACGCAAATCAATGTTTACATAATAAGTCCGGTAGTCATGGGGTTCCAAATATAAATTTGCCCAATTTTATGTGTCTTCTGGTCGATTTTGATAAAGTGTCGTGTTTATCTGCCAACGAGCTCCAGCAAAACTCAAACACTTCTTCTAGAGAAGACTATATTCCACAAATATTGACTGTTTTGTAAGAGATTCTTCACATTTACATTTGACCTCTGGGGCCTTTTGTCTTTAGTCTGTCAAGACTGTCGTTCATAAACAATAGCTAAAACAATGTAACTACTCTGTCGACCAATCAGCGCTTCTGACCGGATTCCGGACAGATTTTACGTCATCAGTATGGAATTTCTGTCGCTGAGTCGCAGAAGTTCCTCCGCGCAAAATGTCCCCAGCGGTGAAGAGCGAGGAGAAACGGATGTTTTCGCAGGCTAGCAAAAATCAAGTTCTACAGCAGATGCACCAGCTAATTAAGATGAGATTGAACAGTAAAGCCTTAAACTTCAAACCTGTTGAATTTGTGTGAACCTTGCAAATAATAATCTAAATAGTAATAAACATCCAATATCTGTTATATGTGGACCGTCTTATGCCTCGTTTCCCTTGCCTTTTTAGAGGAAAATACCTCTTGGAAAATGCTGGAAATGGCATTTCTGAGTGTCTAGGTTTCAAAATTTTCTGGGGCAGCATGCCCCCAGACCCCCCAAGACGCCTACTTTTCCATCACAGCCTGCTACTCAAAAACTTACTGAAAGCCCTGCATAAACATAATTAATTATCCCATAGTTACCTGGATATCCACTGTCAATTTCCATTGTTGGTTGCCGTTTAAAATCTTCAACAATCTCTGCAAGATCTGATCGCTGAGCTACCTTTAAAAGGTCCTCGAGGAAGTCTAAATTATTGTATCCCAAAAGACTCTTCTGCTTCATACACTTAAACAGTTTCCTTGGTGATGTGCATTTTTCCAAAGTGCCAGCCGGAATATGCTTTTCAAGCAAGAATTTCAAACTATCCAGCTGTTCTTCTTCAATTTCCTGTGAAAGTCGCTCCAAGAACGTTTGGAAAGGATCTAACAGAGCTCTCCGACAACTAGCGGTAGCCATGGTCGAGTAACATAACCCGATCCCAGAAGAAGAATTCGTAGCTTCATTTAGCTTTCGACTCTTACCTAGAACATGGTTACTTTTGAGCTGTTTTCAATATTATATCGAGTCTCTACGTAATCGTAGCAAGGCGATAGAGAAACTCATGCTACGAAGTTGCTGAGTCGCGGAAGTGTTGTTTGTACACGGCGCGGGATGCATTCTGTGAAGAAGGATGCGCTGGGAGCCTGGTAGAGAGAGGGGTGGGAGGGTAAAACCGGTTTACCAATAGGGTACGGGGATAGGTTAATCATTGTTTCACATTAATTTTTTACCTCATAACATATGCATAACATTATCTGATAAAGCAAATAAATTAAAACCTCTGAATATGGTATGAGGCTGGCATAACAATAATTGTTACGCCAGCCTCATTCAATATTCAGAGATAGATTTATTTCACTTAAAACAAACAAGGATCAAAAGAGTTGGTTGATTTGAGCAGGAAACTTGAGCCCAAAATGGTAAAGATCTAAAAATTGTACAAACTGCTCAAATTAACCAGCTCTTTCAACTTTTAAACCTTGTTTGCATATATGGCGATACTTTTTTTTACAGGTAAACTTGTATGATAATGAGCAAAAATGTAAACACATCAGAAGGGATTCGCCTAGACTGAGTGCTCTGGATTTAGGCTGACAAAGAGGAAAGTGGCATTTTTCGGGGATTCTAGCTACTAAAAATGTTTTAGGGTAGGAGGGAGATGCTTGAGTTGAAAAGTGTTGTACTTGTATTCAGAGGGGGTGTTTTTTATTATTTATTTTCCTATGTTTTTAAATATTTTCATTAAACATTCCTTGCAGCATGGATGCTAGCCTGCTTTACTTTGATTTACATTACTTCCGTTCTTACATGGGATAATTTTGAGTTTATTCTATGGGGATTTTTCAGGTTTTAATAATTATTTATGACCACATTCGCTCCTTTCTGGGCTAGGTGGGTCAGCTTTTTCAGGTATTAATTAATGTTAATTGATTGTATTTTTCAGTGATGGAAGTAAAGGAATTTTAATTTTAATTAGCATGCCTGGTGAGTAAAGGGACAGACGTTTAGTAGAGTGAATCAAAGGAGTTGGGGAAAAAATCCATACAAAAAACCCATATGTGGGAGAATGTGTACAACCAGAACAGCCAGAAAAAAAAATACATACTAGAACAAAAGAAAAAAATGCAAAACTAAAGAATCAAAAGAAATTAACATGCAAGGCAATATTAATGGATCAAACCAATGCAAGAGGGTGAGAGAGGGGTCTTCCAATTAAGTTCTGAGATGCCCTCTCTAAAAGGTTAATCAAAATAATTAATAATAATAATAATAATAATATACACTTATACGTGCCTTTCTCTCAGTAATCCAAAGCGCTTTACAATCAGTACTAATAGTAATAAACCTAATAAAATATTACAATGACTTAATTGTTAAAAATAAATAAATAAATAAAACATAATAAATGAATGAAAAATAATAATAATAAAAAAAACATGAAATTACAACTGAAAAGCACCCCTTAAAAGAAATGTTTTAATTTTTGATTTGAAAGCACTCAGCTCACAACATGCGTAACCTGACCGGCATGGAATTCCATATCTTAGGAGTTGCGTGTAATAAAGCTCTGTAACGACAGGTTTTAAGGTTGTATTTAGTTTGTACTAAGAGTCCTTTATCTGCAGAACACAGATTCATTGTTGGTCTATAATGAACTAACAGTACTTCCATATAAGGCCTTGCTAAATCAATAAGTGATTTAAATGTAAGTAAAAGTTTAAAATTTATCCCTCAGCTCTTAGGGAAACCAAACAACGAATTAAAATGTTTCACTTAGCCTACCACCTTAATTATTCTGCCAAAAAATTTAAAATACAAACATTGATCCTGAAAATGAATCAAAACGCTTGCCCCAGAGAAGCACCTCTCTGAAGGTCACTTAAAAGCATTTCATTTAATATAAATCACCAAAACAGAGAAGAAATCACGTAACGGAGGAAAAGAGTGTAACAGAAGTGGGCTGTTGGAGCCATGGAAAGGGCTTTAAAACTACCAACACTGTACATATTTTAAGGAGTGTTCTATCTACAAACAAAGTTGCCAGTGCCTGACCCAGCAAACCAAAGCAAAAAACAAACAAACAAACAAAGCAAAAAGGTCTACATAATATATGACATCACTCAGTAAAATAATTTAATTATTGGTTCAATTTTACAAGATAAGCTGTATGTAAAACTACTCAACTTGACAAAAAGAAAACCCAGTTTAAAACTGTATACATGAAGTCTTGCTTTGCATGGATGCTATAATGCTATTAACCTTTTAAGCCCCAATATCCACATACAAATTCCCCAAACTGATCTCTATATATTTCCTTAATAATTGGTTGAGAGAATTTGATAAAAGATCAAAGGAATTTCTCTTAGGAGATCATTTTAATAATTCCCATAACCATTTCCTTTGACATGCATGATCCATATTGTTGGGAGAAAATTGATGTTGGTCACTATTGGGACTTAACGGGTTTAACAATAGCTCAAGAGGTACAACCTAAAAACACATTTGATTCCACATCCAATGAATAATAATTATCAATGAGTGATGAGTGTCATAATACATGTGCGTGACAGGGTTCATAAAAAAAATGCAACCAGTTTTCAAGGACTTTTCAAGGACGACATCAAATTTTCAAGGACACTATACTAGCAAACATGTAATTTCACAGATCATGGTACAAAAATGCACTTTCCCAGTCTAAGCTAAGAGAATTTTAAGCCCTCAAGTGTTCGTCCCATCTCCTTCTCAACATTTTTCTTTCTTTGGTAAATATAAACGAGCATTAAAAGAACGCTTTCCCGACATTATTTGCCGAAGAAGCCAATGAAGCATGGAACTCGTAATAAAAATACATGTAAGGCAAATTAAGAGTTGGACACACAATCACTAGAAAATCTGCATTTGACTGACCTTTGAACTGGATTACTTTGCTTCTCAATTTCTCTTTATAAACTGCTTTTACAGTGTTTAAAGTCGCTTAATACAGGAAAAGAATACCAAAGTCTAACAGAAGCAATTTACTTTCGACCCCACTACGTAAATTTCAAAGTTCAAGACAATTCAAGTACTTTTCAAGGACTAACACAGAAATTCAAGGACTTTTCAAGCACCCCAACTAAAATTCAGGGACTTTTCAAGACTGAGTGGCCCTGCATGACATAGACATAGTTCTTTTTTATGCTCAAAATTTTTTTAAGTACCAAGGTCATTTCTGCGCAGGCAGTATACATTGCTACATCTACTTTTCCTTGCCACATTTTCAAGTTTATGATGGGATTAAAATTTGTTCTTATGCTGGAATAGGGAACTCCACTGTACTATTTAACTAGGCATAATATTCACAAAAAAAACTTTCCAGATATTCTGATAAATTCCAGCTGTTGAATGATGTGTAGGAAAAAGAACCGGGGACAGGCTTGCATTGGCATCCTGGGTTTTCACCTGAAGCCTGGACTCGCATCATTAGTTTAACACTATAACATCAACAAGTTCAGTCCAACATATTTATGTCAATAGTGTCAAAAAGGACTAGTTCACCAGTACGTTCATCATGTGTAACTGGCACTTTGCTTCTCCCTAGCTCCTTCATAAGTAACCTCTCACACACATCTCGTGTAGGAGAGGCAGAAGTGGCTAAGGTTACTTCAACTGTTGTTACCCTTTGATTGTAGATTGTGTTATAATCCACTGGACTGCCACCTTTTAACAACTCTCGTACATCAGCCAAGCTATTCTTCCCAGCAATTTTCTTTGCCATGGGTGTGGCTGATTCTAGGGCCATGTTGTTACAATGCAATTGCTGGCAGCTGACATTTCGGATGCTGAGATGTTTTTCAAGTTCGCCAGCAAGGTCATCTACAGTAGTTCTCAGTTTCTCAGCTCTTCGTTTAGCTAGTTCCACATGCAGAAAATCTTCTACATATCCCATGAGGTTTTCCTGAGAAACTTCTTCAAGTGTTCCATTTATTATAAACTACAGTAGTGATCAAACAAAGAAAAACACAAAACAATGAAATCAGCTTTTAGTTTTTCTCTCTGTATCAGGGTCCAACAAAAATTGTTGACAATTTAACTTGTCTCTGGGCAAGTGGCCTGTTAAAACTACTTGCAAATAATGAGCTGTTTAATGTCCTATAAATCATAATGGTAACAAAAACTAACAAAAATAAACAAAAGAACAAACAAATATTAAGAATACAGTGAAACCTCTATTAAGCTGCCCCCAATTAAGCAGACACCCTCTATGTGGACACTACAAGCTGGGACCCGAAATAAACATCTCATATTTTCCTTTATAACGAACCCCTATTCAGTGGACACTTAAATTCAATTGCATTTGGCTAATTTCTATTCTTAAAAACCTCTATTAAACAGACGACGGACTGAATTGACAATAGTAGTATTGGATTACATCCTTGAAATACGTACTGTATTCTAATAATTCAGTTCATGTTTTTGCATTTACAAACAGTTATAAAGTTGGTAGTGATAGGTAATGAACTTGAACTCTGGATAGGTTCCTTAACAACATGGAACTTTATCACAGTACAGAGTAGCCGTTGAATGTTAATTGTCGTTAACAAACATTGCCAAATTTTTACAAACCTCTATTAAGTGGACACCTTCTATTAAGCAGACACTTGGGAAGGTCCCGAATGTGTCTTAATAGAGGTTTCACTGTAGTAACACTGTACCAAGCACATGGAGCTGACGCAATCATAGGCTGATCGCGCAATCAAACTGATACCTGACTGACCACAGGAGCTGGCACTCCTTGCTGTGAACTGTATTAAATTGCATGAAACTGCATTTTACTATGTAATGACTTAGCTTACCAAGAATTCAGGTAATATCAAAAGATAACAGTGAAAAATTTATTATGATGCTTATTGCACTCTTTCTACAAATTCCTCGTATTTGTCCTTAGTGAAGGATCCTGCAGATCATGAGGGGACACAAAATTGCCTTTACTGGAAGTATACAATCCCACGCAGAGATGTTTTTTCTGCAGGTACCTAATCCGACTTAATCCCATTTAATATGTCACGCTCCTCGAAAGTGCAAAAATTTTCTTGTCGTGTATTAGGTTTCTTTATACATTTTGTTAATTTTCATTTTGAGCCAGAATAAATTAGTTTGTGCGCAAACGGCGTCTAAAAAAATCACAAGGTTTGTCCCAGTTCGAGTCCATGTTCTGAAGATACACCGGCTTGGTATCTGGAAAACATTGCCAAGGCGAAGATCTGGCATTCTTTTGTCCTCGTTGTTTTTTCTCCACAACATTTGTTTATATTTGTAGTGAGAGTGCAGTGTATATCGGTGGATTTTACTTCGTGCGACTTGCTATTTGTAAAAGAAGAGTGCAGGATTTCATCGCTTTGTTTGCCTTTCATTTGACGTCGAATGCAAGGTAAAAAAACCAACTACTGTAAGGTAAGAATTGAAGTTTGTTTCCTGGCAAAAAATAGTGCATAGAACCGTGAAACCCGTGAGTATTACCTCTGTTATACCTAATGTCATGCGATAACTCCTCGCTTTTTCGATGGGTAACACGGATACGAACAAAAGTTTCTTTTGCAAAATTAAGTATCATTTAGTTATCGAGACCATTCGTTATATGCTTCACTACTTGGCTTATTCCAGCTATGTGCAAGGAGTTAGATGACAATGTTTGTGTGCTATGTAATTATGTTGATAATTTCTTGCACAGCTTTGCACCTTTGTATTGAAACTCATGAAAGCCAAACTTGTTTAACCCTAGCAAAAAACTCTTCTTTCATGGAACTTTAACGTCTTTTGGGGCAAAATATGGTGTAAAATTTAGGGAAAACAAAGCTTGATTTTTGGCGAAACAGACTGTAGCTTTCTCTTTTTATTTAAAGAGAGCGCAAGCCAAATGCGAGCTTTAGGTCTGTAACCCAGTGATTCTTTAGGTAGAGCTAACAAACATATTCTGCACTTAAGGTGGCGCACCCATGAGTGCACTGTAACCCAGTGATTCTTTAGGTAGAGCTAACAAACACAGGCTGCACTTAAGGTGGTACTCCCATGAGTGTAGTGTAACCCAGTGATTCTTTAGGTAGAGCTAACAAACATAGGCTGCACTTTAGGTGGCACACCCATGAGTGTAGTGTGACCCAGTGATTCTTTAGGTAGAGGTAACAAACATAGGCTGCACTTTAGGTGGCGCACCCATGAGTGCAGTGTAACCCAGTGATTCTTTAGGTAGAGGTAACAAACATAGGCTGCACTTTAGGTGGCACACCCATGAGTGCAGTGTAACCCAGTGATTCTTTAGGTAGAGCTAACAAACAAACACAGGCTGCACTTAAGGTGGTGCACCTATGAGTGTAGTGTAGCCCAGTGATTCTTTACGTAGAGCTAACAAACATAGGCTGCACTTAAGGTGGCACACCCATGAGTGTAGTGTGACCCAGTGATTCTTAAGGTAGACCTAACAATCATAGGCTGCACTTTAGGTGGCAGAAGAGGTTTTCCTGAGAAACTTCTTCAAGTGTTCCATTTATTATAAACTACAGTAGTGATCAAACAAAGAAAAACACAAAACAATGAAATCAGCTTTTAGTTTTTCTCTCTGTATCAGGGTCCAACAAAAATTTTTGACAATTTAACTTGTCTCTGGGCAAGTGGCATGTTAAAACTACTTGCAAATAATGAGCTGTTTAATGTCCTATAAATCATAATGGTAACAAAAACTAACAAAAATAAACAAAAGAACAAACAAATATTAAGAATACAGTGAAACCTCTTTTAAGCTGCATCCCAGTTTGTCATTTGTAGGACTGTCACATTATAACTACACTGCTTTGGCCACAAATCAAATAAAAAAAATGTTCAGTCACTGTGATATTAGGATTTTATAGTCTTTGGGCAGGGGGACTCTTTTTTTTCTACGTTGCATGACAGGAACTGAAAGAGATTACACTAGACGGCGCTTATTTGGGACAGCGCTTTAGCTTTTTTGGCTTATATTATGCAATCACCCCGAGTGACAAATTGTTTACTGCGGTCAGTCTCACATACTTGGATGCAGATGAGAATTAACTAACTTACCCGAAATAAACGTCTCATATTTTCCTTTATAACGAACCCCTATTCAGTGGACACTTAAATTCAATTGCATTTGGCTACTTCTTTATCGCTAGATACATTGTTTTAACACACACCATTGATAGCCAGAGGAAGCATATTGTCTAAAACCATTTACGCACATCACAGAGGTAAGATAAGGTAAGGTAACGTAATTTATACATGGTATTTCGTTCAGGTACTAAAGTAATAATAATAAAAAGGATGCTTTACAAGGAGGCCATGTGAAAATATTACATATCTCTAAATTAAGGTTGTTTTAATTTTCCTTTAAAAACATAAAGGGATGTCAATTGCCGCACCTCCAAAGTCAAGATCTTCCACAACACATTTCCGCTAAGAGAAGGGCTTCTTTTATAAAATTCGGTGTGGGGTTTTGGAACAGCGAGCTTGTATTTATTCAGGGGCACCCAACGACTGTTTTCTCTGAAATATCTGTTCGGAGAGGCAGAAATTGCCTAGAATTTTCTATAGCTTGAGGAAGGCTGAAAATTTCTAGATGACTCTTCCATTCATGTACTGAGACCCCATGCGCACCTCACACTAACCCCCAATCTTCTCTCACCCCCAAAACACATAAATAGCGACTGGGTACAAGTCTGATAAAATCCCTACAACTCTCCCAAGATGGTTTTTTGGTGATTTCATCATTTATTTTTTTGATCTGGTTCTGTTTTTTCATTTTTGTTTTCGCGGCTTAATTCATGGCGAGCGAAAAAAATGTATTCGTCAAAAGGAATAATTTTACTTTGGTTAGCACAGTCATTTTTTTTTGGCAATATGAACTTAATTTATTTTAGTTGTGACGGCATTACAACTTAGTCATGACAGCTTTGGAAGAAACTGAATATGTCCGTATTGCGCCAGGCGTTTTTGCAAAACAGCACTGACTATTGAGTCAAATAATTTTTTATCTCATTTCCCAAAGTACGTGCTGCTGAGAACCAGATGGCAGTAAATAAAAAAAAGCCTCATTGTTCTCGCGAAAATTGAGACGCACTTATTACAACTTGATGACAAGTATAGACCAGTAATCGCATTTGTATAGAGGAAATTAATTATCAAATTTGTGTCATAAGAAAAGGATTATAACACCTCGCTCGGATACTGCCTGAGGTGCTCCAAAAGTCCCATACAATTTACTGTAACAATGTTACAGTAAATTGTATGGGACTCTCCTGGATACTTACAGTTCAGGCAATTTGTTTCCACTCATGGGTAACAGTATGGAGTATTTAGCCACCCTTGAAAATGAAAACAAAGTGGCATTAAAAAGACATTTACCTGTGACAATGCTTGAGCTCTTGAAAGTGGCACATACTGTCCTCCTGTTTTGAATGCTAGACCCATAAAAAAATCCTTATAGGACAAGATAGCAGGTTCACACCCAACAGAGTAGAGTACTATTCCACTTTCAACCATGGTTTTGCAAGCTTTCATTGGATCATTCCTACAAGGACAACCTTCGGGGAAGCCATCATGATCTATTCCAAGGCCATGGGGAGGAGCATCAGCTAAAGGGATCAATGTAAAAATCAAGAGTTTTAAACAGTTCACTGTGGATGACTAGCAGCGTTAATCTCAGCAGTTTCTGTCAAGATGATTACACATGTTTCTGCTTAAAAGCCCTGGGATTATACACAATGTTCTCCATAAATTATAGCTCAGCACGTAAAGGACCATTCAAAGCCAGTAAGGCAAAAAATGTGCGCCAAAGGCAACAATTTAAAACGTTTGATTCAAATAACTTTACTCTGTCTTCAAAACCCACAACCCACAAAAAGAAAAGCTGTGTACATGTATACTTAAGTACTTTTCCATATCTGTTTATTCATTTTCCTTTTGAGAAGCGGATTGGATCACAACTTTCTTTTTTCAAAATCCACTTTTTTTTCATTTTAGTAAACCTGCAAGAGGTCGCAGGTGGTAAGAAGTGTTGTTTCAGAAGGTAAATTTTACTGGTTACCACCTGATAAGGGGAACATGGTATACCGGGTTTTAAGAGGACTTATATTTACCTGAGGGGNGCATTAAAAAGACATTTACCTGTGACAATGCTTGAGCTCTTGAAAGTGGCACATACTGTCCTCCTGTTTTGAATGCTAGACCCATAAAAAAATCCTTATAGGACAAGATAGCAGGTTCACACCCAACAGAGTAGAGTACTATTCCACTTTCAACCATGGTTTTGCAAGCTTTCATTGGATCATTCCTACAAGGACAACCTTCGGGGAAGCCATCATGATCTATTCCAAGGCCATGGGGAGGAGCATCAGCTAAAGGGATCAATGTAAAAATCAAGAGTTTTAAACAGTTCACTGTGGATGACTAGCAGCGTTAATCTCAGCAGTTTCTGTCAAGATGATTACACATGTTTCTGCTTAAAAGCCCTGGGATTATACACAATGTTCTCCATAAATTATAGCTCAGCACGTAAAGGACCATTCAAAGCCAGTAAGGCAAAAAATGTGCGCCAAAGGCAACAATTTAAAACGTTTGATTCAAATAACTTTACTCTGTCTTCAAAACCCACAACCCACAAAAAGAAAAGCTGTGTACATGTATACTTAAGTACTTTTCCATATCTGTTTATTCATTTTCCTTTTGAGAAGCGGATTGGATCACAACTTTCTTTTTTCAAAATCCACTTTTTTTTCATTTTAGTAAACCTGCAAGAGGTCGCAGGTGGTAAGAAGTGTTGTTTCAGAAGGTAAATTTTACTGGTTACCACCTGATAAGGGGAACATGGTATACCGGGTTTTAAGAGGACTTATATTTACCTGAGGGGGGTTAAAACTGAAATAAACAAGCTATAGCACTGCTGCTTGAAATTAGTTTAGCATTACTGGTTTTTAATTAAGCTGCAAAAGGTCGTAACAAATAAGAATTCATTCAATACATCTGGAGGGGGCTTATATCTGGGGGGAGCTTATAATAGGATGTATTTTATTGTTTAGTAAAGGTAGATGGGCTCATAACAAGGTGGGGATTATAAGCCACATTTGTTGACACATTTGCCTCTAAGCCACCCGTAACCGCCCATGCAGATCCACATCCCTTCTACTGCTTGTGACATCATCAGTTTAAATGATCACGAATAACTTTGTGTGCTAACTTGTACAGAGTGAACAGATCTTTCAAACCATACCAGAAAGAGCACAATTCACTCAAGGACACCGGATAAAAAAGCAAAAAAACCATGTAACATTGACCCAAAAATTTCCATGAAAATCTTGTACCACTACCCACCTACCTTTCCTTCTATAATCCTAAGATCCTAAAAACTTTTTGTAAAAACTTTTCCCACCAAAATGAAGCCTACTAAATGCCCAGCAAGAGAAAAAAATTGAGGCAAGAAAAGCAAAAGAAGAGGGGAGGAGAGAACCAGAAAACCAGAAAACAGTGACCAGAAGACCGCTCAACTAGCTTCAAAATGTGTTTTTCGGCAAAATCTGGACAAAGATTCTGGACAAGTTCACACCATCAGTATGGATGGGTAAATGCAGTCGCCTCTCATGAAACATCCCAGCAAAAGGTAGCCTGCGGTGAGAGGCACCTGTATTTGCAGTTTACAATCAGTCTTTACCTGCTAACTGGCTAGCTCCAAGTTAAGTTTTTTTATGGCCTTTCTGTTAATTGCCTTTCTGTGCTTTTTCTGTTAATTAAGGTATCAGCCACCCTTCAGGACCGTCCGCACGCGGATCGCCGTAGCGTTAGTTGTTTTTATAAAAACCCCTATAAACCATATATTTTTTAAAAGCTTAATAATTCCAGATTATGGATTTGAACTAACAAAAACCATTTACTTAAATGTGTTCCGAAATTGGAACGCTTTGTGTACAAGTACACATCTCTATAAATCATGTTCCACTCCCGCCGAAAATAAACGGAAGAAAACAATTAACACCGTATTCGCTTCTCAACACGTTCCACAAAAAACCGTGTCTCAGATTTTTGACAAGTGCATTTGTTTTTCTTTTATTAACAAATGAAGTTGGGGAAGGTAATTAGTCAACACTCCCTGTGGAAAAAAAGCTCTAGCTTTAAAATGAAAAGGAGTATTAAAATTCGCAGACACGGTTTTGTAGAAGAGATATATGGCATCACTCTGGCCGAATTTTAGCCAAATTGATTGAAAGGCTGCCAACTTGGAGTTCAAAACGTACGAGTCGATCGGCAAAATTTGCGTTCGGAGATAAAATAGAAAATACATTTTTGGCGGCATCCTACCTGGAATGAGATTATAACACCTGAATGTTTATTCTGATTGATATCAGAGAGGGATCAATTTTCTCTAACAATAGGACTTTGACAGGTAACATGTAACAGTAACAACACACCACGCCACGAGAAGCACGGTTTAATTCTTTCTCGAGCAAAAGTTTTGCCTCTCCTTCGATCTTTTTTGTATGATCCGCCCAGGCGTTTTTGTTAATCGGCGCCAGGCCAAGGAAACTAAAAAACTTTGAAGGCGCCGAATGTCCACCACCGATTGCTCGAAGGCCAAGAACTGAGGCCCGGTTATTTCAAACGCTATGCGCTTCTCGGAAGAATGAAAACAGAATTTGTCTTGTGCGACGAACAGCTTTCATTCTCGCACTGGATTCTCCAGGTAGAACCAAGTCCATGCTTAGTCGCTACATTTTCCATGACTTGGACTCTTCCCTGGCAAAATCGACAAGATACAGACTCGTCCAGTTTCTCAAGCAGCTTTTCGCTCGATACGATAGCTCGACCGCTTATTGTTTTCCACGTTCCATCAGCAGATGGGGTCGATGAGCTTAACTGGCTTTCTTCGTCTGGCTCTTCAAGCTGGATTTTGGAGCGGCTTGCACTCTCAGCAACTGCAGCATTTTCACTTTTCTGAATATCCAACCCCTCGAGCCACTTCTCTTGCTGATAAAATGAGAATTTGTCACTCTCTGCCAATTTTGCGGCCCATTCTTTGTCAAACTCGCTCTTCGATTTTCTTTTCACTCTAGGTTTCGATGACGAAAACGGACACGACCTTTTTTTTTTTTTTGGCGGCATTTTCACCGAAGCAAACGCTAAATCTAAAGGCTATAAACAACGCGAAGACAATTCGCACGTGTTGTGTCGAAGCACGCACTTGGTATCACGTTACTAGTTAACAGACAAGTTAATTGATATATGACACGAGTATGAAAGATCTTGTCAACGATCAATTAAGATAATTAACGAGAAAAAATCTTTTACCCCCGATATCTTTCGACAGAAATAATATTTTTTTTCTAATTTTTTTTTTAAAAGAAAGCTCTGAAGCATATCTATTTGAAAACGTTGAAACCTCAAATATGGAAAAATGGCAATTTTAAGGGTGGCTGATACCTTAAGTCTGTGATCAGAGCTTTGTCTCTTCATGTCCAATTTTATTACAATACTTGCTAAAAATGAATTTGGAAGCATCAGGCCCACAAGGACGAGTTACACTTCCTTAGCTAACAGTACCCCCTCCCCCTCTCCCTTCCCCTCCCCCACCCCCTCCCCCTAGCCAACCTCTATTTCCAACAAAACTGACCGGGGAAAATTTAAAATTGTCCTTGAGCTGTTTACGAGAGCAATTGATTCCCCCTATTTTCCGAAGCTGGAAGCCAACTGCGTCTAGGATGTTAGGAAGGATTAGCATCCTTACTTACCAATGAGAACACACATCTTAGTGGCGTCTTTTCTGTAACTAAGTTTAGTGGCAGCGTCAACCAAGGCGCAAGCAACTGATTCGGGCCCGTCTCCACCACCATTAGCACTCATCCCATCCACCCAAGTCTTCATTTCAGACACAGAAAAGGTAAAATCGTGAACTTTAGTCACAAATGTTGAGTCTTGTGGAGGATGGTCCCTGTACTCGACCAACGCAAGTTTCACACTGAATGCAGTTCTTGACACCGTCTCCGCGATGGTTCGAATGTGTTTTTGCGCTTGTCTAATGTAAGAGCCCATTGATCCCGTGCAGTCCACAATGAAAGCTAGATCGACTTTTTGTCGGTCATGTCGAGCAGCCCAAGGAACTTGAAAATCCATCGTGGTCGAACTAGGTCGCTTCCAGAGGCCTTCAAACAATCGATACACGTCCCACAACGACATTGAAGAAGACGGAAGTGAAGATCCCATCATGCAATGTAAACCAGTACATGTCCTTGACCGACACAGGAAAACCAGCAAACGAAGAATAATGAAACTACGTAAGGGTCCACGAAAGTGCCGTCACGGTGTTTTGGTTTGAGTTCCTCTCCAAACGTTTCGGGCCCGAAAAGTTACCGGGACTTTCGAGAAACGGGTCCCGGGCCCGAAACGTTTGGAGAGGAACTCAAACCAAAACACCGTGACGGCACTTACGTAGTTTCATTATTTTTCGTTTACAATGCTGGTTGTCCTGTCAAGGACATTTCATGAAGAGCAAGAATTACACGTACTGACAAGATCCAAGAATTGTATATATTTTAAATTTAAACTATTTGCTTTCCTTCCCTTCCTTTCTTTAATTTTCGATTTCAACAAAAAGGTTCAGAGAAGTCATCGGACAGACGTGGACTACGACTATAAAACAAAAATTCCCAGAAAAAAGAAATCGCGAGTACTGCAAGTACAACGTAAGTATTACCGATGACAAGGGATTGGTGCAGAGAGCCAACTTTTTTATGATAAAAATCTGTTGTTACGTGAATACAAGGTGAACATACATAATTAAAAGCAGATAGTACCACGCCGCGAGAATTCAAAAGAATCTTCAGTTAGGGTGAATACGAAACATTATTAATTTATCCATTAACAAGAGTTACTGTTTGACAACTCCAACGAACAGCTTGTTTTTCATTGTTGACCAGTAAGAGAAGCACGAACTGGGAAACAGGTTGACAGTGAAGTTTGTTGCTGATTCTGAAAGAATCTTGTGCAAGTTGGCGACCCAAACTTGAATTTTCTTGAGTGAGAGATAGCGCTGATATAATATATCAAATTCAGTTAGTTTTCCTTAGCTGACATGGCTTTTGCTGAGAGCGAAAAACAAACGGAATGGGAGGACACTTTTGTAGAATTCTATGACCGAAGAAATGAAGGAATCGCGGTGAGGAGAATTATTTATGGTTCCGTCAGATCACGAAATAAAAAGAGGGGTGTATTTAAGGCAGCTAAGAATATCAAGGTTGCCTTAAAAAAATAACGTTAAGTTTTGTTTACTCGTAGTACTGGATAGCAGAGATAGCGGAAATTAAACGGAGAAAAGAGTCGGAGGATCGGCAGGAAAAGAGGAAGAAAAGGGAGCTGTATGCTTGGAAGATCATAGATGACCAGGTGAGAGAACTTGAGATGTTTTAATCAATTAACTTCTACAATTTAGATGGAAGTGCCTCACCACAATTCTATGCGGGATTCATCCAAAATGAATTTTTCGCCCTGCGAAAAAAGTCGGTTAGAAAGGATACCTTGGCATTGTGCCGTAGTCATTGACCTTGCGGAAGACATAACGGATATTAAAGGCCACCATTTTAAAAAAGTTATAGATAAGGCAGCTGTAAAATGCTTATAATAAATATTCAACTTTTGATTATTTGTTTCAGTGCAATAACCAATGCCGGTAGCCTAACTGCTTTAGTTATCGACATCAGGCATCATTACACAAACTTGCTTGGCTTGGGTAGAAAACTATCGCGATAGTCAAGTACCTATAGTTTACTATATCACGACCCTCTTTAAACAAAATAGCACCAAACCACCAGAGTATATCTGATAAAAAATACACTTAGTTAGGAACTCCTCGTACTGATATTCAGTTACTAAAACACTTTTTAAGCCTCGCATTTGCTCAAGCTAAAACTTGGAAATTTCAATTTTAAGAGCCTTTATTTTCCTTCAAAACCGTTTCATAAACGTTCCTCTGTAGCCTCGGTGTCAAGTGCAGTTATTTGAAGCTTTAGAAAATTAAAGGAATCGTTAAAAAGTCAACAAATAAGTCAAACAAAGTAACACTTTGGCAATGCCACTTAAAAACAAGGAAAATAAGTCACCTATCAATTCTAAACGTTTGCCCGTTCTTTATGCACAATAGTGATTTTTTCTTTAATCATTATCGCTATAGTAGGCATCGTTACTTTTTTCCATAAAAGGCAAGACTTTGAATTTGTCAAATAAGGAAACCTAAACAAGCTCCGCTTCCCGGTGGGAGATTAAAACTCGTAATCACGGGTCCTTAAAAAAGATTGTCTTATGGCTCCCAGGGGGAATACGCTCAGAAATCCATATCACAACATTTGATCGAATTTGAGTTGTGTTCAAATTTTGTAATCGCTCCAATAAACCCTAAAACCCTTTTAATGTTTTGTTTACAGTAATTTCAATTTACGCTATCAAATTATAAAGTCTGTAGCTTACACTACAATCCTAGCCTGCTAGCAAACTCGCAAGAGAACGCGCGAGCGAACGAAGAAGAGGGTTTCTGCTTCCCAGCGTCCTTAAGCGAAGTACAAGGCATCATGGAAAGGAAAGAACAAGCCAACTCATCCGTCACTGAAGTTATGAATTTATGAAAATCATATATGAGAACTGCGGGGTGAAGAATTATATGAAAGAAGATCATCGCAGTTATAGACGCAACTTTGCAGTTGCGAAAACGCTTTCAGGCTTTCTTTTGGCAACTGCAAAGTTGCGTCTATAACTGCGATGATCTTCTGTTATATAATCCATCCGTCACTGTCCCACCGTCGTTTTCGCATAAATAGAAAGAATTTAGTAAAAGAGGCAGAAGTTCCCCATTATAAAGTCATATGGTCTAAAAAAATTTAAATAAGCTTCTTTACCTAGCACCTAGAAGGCGGTAGGGTAAAATAATACTGAAATTTATAAAGCACAGGCGAAAATATACTTTCGCCATGATATTGGAGGGCAGTAACACGACCATATGTCTGCAGTAGCAGGTCATTCGTAATGATATAAAATTTTGCTATTCTCGTTGACCTTTTCTTTGCATTTTCGCTTTAGATCGTGCCTTGGGATCTAGCAACTAAAGGATTTTTCTTTAGTGACGAAGTGTACATTGTACTGAATCGTACTGACATTCAGTCAACAAAAGTACCAGAGAGGGTAAGGATGCTCTGTAATTTAAAACAAAAAATGGCGAATAAGGTTTTGCTTGATTTTGATGCTGTCAGTGACATTAACTCTTTCTGGCGTGGAATACCATAAAATGCCACAATAGGGCCATTTATACGAGGAAAAATAAGACGCGTATTACATATTTAAAAAAAGACGCATCTTAAATAAGACGCGAAGTGGACCATTTATACGAGCATGTCTTCTTTAAGTCTTCTGTATACTTAAACTTACTTTTAAAGTGTAAGTTTATAATACGAAGATAGCAATTTGATTAATAAATATAAATTGTGATAGTTTAAAGTTAAAAGGGTCTACTTACACCAGCAGATGTCACGCATTTGTCCAGGAGGTCTGTTATCGCTTTCTCCTTACTTACTAACACAAAATCTTTTCCTCCGCGATGGACCAAGTGTTTCTTTTTACCTTTAACGGCGTGCTCATTGTATTTGAGCGAAGGAAACAATAAAGCAGAATGGACAAGGAAACGAAAACGCGTTGTAATTTGTAAACATTTTTTCCCCGCCAGTTGGCTGCCAGTCCACCGCGGGACAAGAGATAATTTTCCAGCCAAAAATTAACGCATGCGTACTATGCGTTCGTGTCTTATGTAAGACGCGAAGGTCATTTATACGAAGTTTTTCTCGTCTTAGCTAAGACGCGTCTTATCTAAGAACAGGTGTTAAGGGCTGTTCTAAAATAAGACACGTCTTAGCTAAGTCGGTTCTTATTTTAGACGAAATGTGCCTTTTATACGGAAAGTTCGCGTCTTATTTAAGACGCGTTATATGTAAGACGCGTCTTATTTTTCCTCGTATAAATGGCCCTATGAGTTTTAGAATTCCATGACCTCATTACAGTCGAACTTCTCCACAACGGCCACCTTGGAGACAGAAGAAAGTGGCCATTGTAAGGAGGTACGGGTGAAATACATAATATGTATGGCGGGAGGCACAAACTTGGACCCCACTATACAAACGTCTATAAATTTTCGCAACTTTGCAGAGCTATTTCTTCGTTCGCTTGCTAAGACGTATCACTTTCAAATTTGGCAATGTTACTAATATTAAGGCGCTCTTTACAGTGGTGTCAACGGATTTTCCCTAACTGGTTCATTTCAAAAGTTGCAAAAAAACAATAAAATTACACCGACCAATACGGACCGCTGTGACCAACACGTCAAAAGATCTAAAATTAAACACCGCGTGCGTGTTCGTGTCCGCACTGTTTATAAATATAATTTTATATCCGGTTTTGTTAAATCTTAAGCCCATAAGAGTATTTAATGTGAATTTGAACGTCCTTATAGTGGAGCACCATGGGTAAGAAAATGTGGTAATAGACCTATTCGGCTAACTCAATGTTGTACCCAATTCAAACCCTTTGGGAATAAAACGTTTTGTTTCAGGAATTTCCATATCATTTAAATGTGAATGCCATATTGTAATGCAAATGCAATACACAAAGAATCTTATCCCCGGGGGATTTGAATTGGGTACAACATTGAGTTAGCCGAATAGGTCTATCTAGCTATCTGAGAAAATTTCGTAATCACGTGACCTTACACCGACCGCCTGAGAGACTGTCCGTCCGCACCACAGGCATATCAATGTAAAATAACTCAACCAACAGGTATGGCAACCCAAATGCAACTGGAGGTTATTTTGGCGGCAAATCGCATAGCCAACCGCGTCTTGTAAAACAGAGGCAGCTAAAGAGTCAATAAATACGAAAACGGAAAGCGGAAATTGTTTCTGTATCAGTGTTGTCTAAAGTATTAAGCTTAGATTAATTGTCATGTCCACAGATTTGGAATATAGAGCAAGAGAAAGACAGAGAAAAACAGAGAGTAGGCGGCAGGCCAGCGAAACTCAATCAGAAAAAGGGTAACAGAGATCTAACGAGAGATAAAAAAAACATCTATCTAGCGAGAGATAAAAACAAAGGAGACATAATTCCACCACTAGCCACCTCCACTTCGGTGAATAATTGTTATATATTACAATCTTTCGGAAGTGGGGTTTTAGTCACGTGTCAGCGTGCCTGCCCCTCCCTAGTAAGTTCAGTTTTTAGTGCACAAGGGCATTATTGATGGATAAAAAAGTATGGTTGTATTCATTATCACCTACCTAAAATCTAATGGCAAAGTTCTGTTCTTTTAAAGAGGCTTCAAACACCGGATGATATTTACTGCTGGGTTGGGAAGTCGGCAAGTCATCATTCGTACAGAACTGGCCTCTACAATGCTGTAGCGCTGGACGAAGCGGTAAGCCTTCCAATTCTTTGTCAACTTATTGCAGTGTTTTACAGTGACACATAGTTATGGTCTTAACTTCTCTGCAGGAGTTTAATCGGGAAAGGAAAGAGGGAATTAAGGCGAGCAAGAACGCAATCGCGCGCGTTTCTTTTCTTTTTTCTTCTTCCTCGTGCGTCCATCGCGTTTTCATTCCCCTCAAACGCCTGCCCGCAAGCTAGTTATGGCCCGGATACATAAGGCGTTTTGAGCGAGGCGCGTCAACCGGAAGTGGACGTTTGGACAGTTGTTTTGCTCAAATGTTAGAGCAAATCGAGTCTATAAGAGTAAAGACACTTAGCCAGAATATACAAATTTGATAGCATTAAGCCATATAAAAAGGGCAAAGGCCTCACTTTAGATTGACATGCGTCTTTGCTTAAGCTTTAGGTTACGTTTTGTATACGACCTTGCGAGCAATGTTTCCTTTCATCCCCAGAGACGCTGTTGTTGAAAACATCGTGGTTCATTCACCACTCACACATTACCTATAATAAACATTCCCCACCCCCTCCCCGGCATTTTGCATAAGAGCTGTTATTAAAAAAGAAGCCCCTTTTCATTTGAAGGTCATTTCTATGGTCGATAAGAGTACAGACGCAGAATTTCTAACCCTCCCGTTTTGGCCTTAAACCTCTTGTATTCGGCGAACATTTCCGGCCTCCCGTTTTCACTTAAAAAATATTCTCCCTGTGTTTTGAAACTCTTCCTAGCCAAAGAAAGACAATGTTTTCTTTGTCTAACCAGTCTTTTTTACACGATTCTTTGCCGTTTTTCTGTGGTTTCTCGGCCATTTTTACCCTTTTGGCATCCGAGCATTAACCTGCGAAGATTTTGGGCGCGGTAATGCGCTGGATTGCTTCGACTTTGCGCAAGAAATTGCATCTTAGTGGCACATATCCCAAGAGGCTAACGCCTTCGGCGCTCGTGGGAGCAGCTATGTCGCTAGTTGACAGGGTTGGAATCTCTGCAGACCATGGAAAATTGTTGTTGATTTGTTAAATACAGTAGCATTAATAGCAAAAGAACGTCAGCATTTATCCATATAAATACTAATAAAAACGAGGAAAATTGGATCAGTTGCTTAAAACTGCATGTTCTTCACAGTTGGAAGGAGTGACAATTGTTCACCGAGAGGTGCAAGACTTCGAATCCAAACGATTTTTAAATGGATTTGAATTCTACACAGTGCTTAAAGGAAGGTACGATAGAAAGATAATTATATCAAGTTCTGTCTTTTTTCCCTTTGTTAAACGATAACAGAATAATACAAAAGCAAAAAGGGGGTATATTTACTTTTCTAGTGTTCTAAGACGTTTATTCTCGAGCGAACCTGTCAGGACATATAAAAGAAGCACGAAATGAGAAACCAACTTAAACAGTCGACTCACCAAAAGTAACAACTGTATATTATGCACCTGAAAACGTTCCATTGCACGTGAAAGACACAAAAGGTAGGGGGCAGGGTAATCTTATTGAGGGACAACCATATCAAAGCTTTCTCCTCCTCAGCGGCCTATTTCTGTCGTTGAGAGATTGAAGAGAAAGAAAAAGAAAGCAGACGGTTTTCCTCCTTCCCATCGTCCCCCGCGCTCTTTCTATTTTCTTAATGTATTGCTATTTTTATTGGGATGCCCAGCCGCAGCATCTGCAGCAGAGAGAGATATCACAGCGAATAAGGGTACCCCTTATAGCCCATGAATTTCGTTTGAGGCCGGACGCCGGACGCAACGTCCGGTTGTTTGACACAACGTTTTATTTTTTTTAAAATCAAAGATAGGTTTGACCCTTAGTTTACTCACTCAGTTGTGTAACGCATACAAATTTTTGGGAGCATTTTTTACAGCTTAAAACACCTTCCCGGTTAACTAATTCAGTTCCAGTAAGAGTCCGATCTTAAACATTTCCTCCGGCACTCAATGCTCGCGCCTGCTGCACGAAGAGTGCAAATTCAGTAGCTAAACCTCTGCTCCGGTAATTCCAAATGTTACCGAAAACCCTGTTATACGACCATTTAGGTACAGTTTCCGAAATTTACGACGTTTACATTTGACTTTTAATCAGATCTGATGGCTTGGACAATTGTGATCTGCATACCAAGTATAAAAAGCGACTCCTTCGCGTCACAGGGCCACTGGGGGTGAGTAAATGAAGCAGCTTTAAAACAGGCCGCAACATGAGGCTGATTTCAGAGACTTAGAACAATCTCAGGCTCAACAACAGCTACAGCAACCGGTTTTTTTCACGGTCAAACAACGTGGTTTTCGATTGAGTATCGTAAAACCAAAAGGATAGAGGGCCACAAGTTAACTAGTTTTTGTAACTATTCCTTGCTACCCTCTTTAAATAAAGTGTATTATTATTATTATTGTTAATTAATAATAATTCCAACTCGTCTAATGAAATAATACCAATATAAGGAAAGGAGGAGGAGGAAGGGGAAGGGAGAGGGAACTCATTAACCAAAAGGGAACCAAAACAAGAAATAATTAGGACGAAAAATATTAGGATCATAAATAGGTAAAAAAGAGCAAAGGTATCAAGTTTCTTTACTATTTTTTAAAAGCTTTACATTTTATAAAAAGGCTTACAAGTACTAAAAATATTGCCCACTCACCTTTCAGGAACAAACATATCCTTGGTGTGCAACCGCGTGAGGTGTTGGCTGACTAAACAATTCAATTTTGTTCGCAGAATTTGCGTGAAAAAAGAGTTTAGATCACAGTAGAAGCTTAAGGAAACCCCATCATTCTTGTCAAGAACATGACCGCCCGTGATGACAGCTGCAATGAAACAAGCAATAGGCAACTGATAAATTCTCTTAAGGCGCTACAGAGAGAAGAAGTCGTTATGCCACGTTGCCATGGTAGCAAAATTTTCTGGATCTTAACAAAGCGTGGTCCTGCAAACATGGCAGAAAAAACCGAGAAAGTTGATATGCATTTCTTTCCAGTGCATGATTGCATTCATGAACAAAACGGTAGCCCATACTTTTCTTCCATCATTGCACAATGCAAATGGTTTTATCTGTCAAGAGAGGTTGTTAAGATCTAGAGATTTTGTTACCGTGGTAACGTGACGTCATACTTTTCCTCTCTATTGGGTCATGAATACCACTTTACACAAAACTGAATTTCAGATGTGGTAAAATTTCTTTCCGCAAAAAATATTATGTTTTCATTTAAATTTCAGGGTACCCTTTGTATCCGTGAGACATCTATGAAGAGAGGAGCAATGAGGGAATCCAAAGATTTGTTTATCCTTGATAAGGGCCTGACAATATACGTGGTAATGTGTCATTCAATGAATAATCCCCTGCCTATAATCAGTAAATCCACAAAGAAGGAATGAACAAACCAGTATTTGCCATGTAGACAATTCTTTACCTTTGCCTGGTTGCATGGGTCATTTCTCAGGTTTCTTTGTACCTAATGCTTATCAGGGTCTCTTCCGGTGCCGGAGAAAGAGCCTACTTACAACTGAATATATAGTAGATCCCCTATGTAGCCCCCTCTCTTAAATAGGCCCCCCTCCCTAATAAGTCTTCCTTTTCAGGGCAAGAACGTTAATAAGCGCCCCCCTCTCCTCCCCCCATTACTCTTCACATATAAATGTTTTTGATCCTCGGTTGCGTTGCCTCCAACTTCTTGTACTTGAGCTTTTCCACTTTGCATTCTAGTTCTTTATGGAGAACTGATACCAGTTAATAAAATAAGCCCCTAGCAAAAGGCTCACCTGTCGTTACCAAGCTCCCCCTCAAACGCTTTTGATGAAATAAATAGGCCCCCGGCGGGGTTAATAGAGGATTTACAGTAGTTAAAAAAGCCTTTCGTTCTGAACGAGACTAACCTGCGTTCCAGGTGGAGAAGCAATGTTGAGTGCAACTTCAGGAACGCGCCTACATGTTAAATGGGCGTGGGAAAACGAGGTCTATGCGCGTGATTCTAACAAATACGCTTGTGAAATTCCTACCTGTATTCAAGGACACCAATTACGAAAGCAAAAAAAAGAGTTTGATGAGCCGAGGTTAGGGGGCTTGCAGCCCGCCAAATGATTGTAATTTACCTTTTACTTGATGATGTGTCCCTTGAGCTTGTAATTTCTGACAGAGAATCTGTGAAAAAAAAACATATGCCGGTGGTTTGAAACAGCGGCGAAATCAACGGGCTCTCTTTGAATAGTTATCCTATGGGTAAAGGTAACAGCAGCTTCTTTGTGAAAATTGTGAAAGAGAATAAATAGGAAATAATAATCATGAAAAAAAGATTTGGATCGAATATTGAAGATCAGCGAGCTCGGTGACCCAAATCAGCAAATGTTAAAGTCCTTTCAGCAAACGGTATACAATCCAACTGGGTGATTCCGATCGTATAATATCAGCACTTTTTCCCCAGGATGACTCGCTGGAATACAAGACACCCCTCACCGCCCAACACTGGTTGATTTAGATACTCAGCTAGCACTCTCTCACATAATCAGTGAGCTGATTTATTATACTGTTCTTGTATTCTTAGTGGGTCGGCAGTGGATTAACAGATTCAGAGCTCAAAGTCAAAAGAGCAAAAGAATACGCCGAAGGAATTAAGGTGATGAAAAAAAACACATAAGAGTCATCAAAGTGGCTAGGCCCCGAGTTTAGTTCGCTTATTCCTGAAGTTAGGATTTACTGCACGATCTACTCCTGATTTACTCCAAGCCTACGTACCCGCTCAGAGGTCTGGCTCTACTAGTCTGGTGGAGCAACCAGGCGGCTGTTTTATAATACTTCAATCCGTCAAATTTCTTATGCCCCTGTTTTCTTTTTTTAAGGCAGAGCGCAAGGACAGGGGCATTAGAGTTGGTACAGTCCGTAAGTTCAATTTCCAATTTTTTACCTCTAGCTAATAATAGTCCCGAACGTTTTACACTTTGCGGTCGTAACAATTCTCCCCAGACTTCAATGTTGAAAATACCCTAGAGAAATCAATCCATCCATTCATCCGTCCGTTTGTCCATGCCTCGCTTATCACTCCCTCCTTCTCTGTATCAAACATTCATCCATCGATCCATCCGTTACCCTTTCCCTCCCAACCTCCCTCCCTCCCATTGCTCTCCATCCCTCTGTCCATCCGACCATCGATGACTCCGTCCGTCGCTCCATCCGTCAATCCGTCTGTCCTTCTTTCTGCCCTTCTCAGTCTGTCTGTCCATCCCTCCGTTTGACCCCCTGCTCGTTCGTTTGTCCGTTTATCTGTCCATCTGTACGTCGGTTTGACCGTTTGTCCTTCCGTCCGTTTGTCCGTTTATCTGTCCGTCCGTCTCTTGATCTGCCTGTCTGTCCCTCCGCCCGTCCGTCTGTCCATCCGTCCATCAACCAATGAATCTCTCACGAATACCGTCAGATTGTCCTCGATCACTCACACTATAGACTTTTTTTAAACAACAATGCCGTTCTTTTCGCATTGCACGCGGTTTGCCTAATAGGCCACAGTGTCAGAGAGTCACAGTATAGCCTGTAATGTGTTGTGTGTGAGTAAACTTCACTTTTTCCAAGACTACTTTAACTTATTTTTGTTCTTGTCTTTTAAGATGAGAATGATGAGACGTTGGATAAAACTCACGAATTATACTGGGAGTTTCCTTATCAAGCGAAAAAACCTATTCAAGCAAAAAAATGGAAACCCCCACAACAGCCACAACGCGAGGTAAACTATGAAGCCCTCTGTGCAAACTGCGTTTGCAGGTTTTGTCCAGTGCAAATGTAAAAAGCGAATAACTATCCGAAGTTGATGACAGCGTCAAAGAGTATATATATCATACGTAGCAGAAAATGAGTAAACCAACTTGCCGCAAATGCACATTCCCACCATTGCTTTGCAAAGAAATGTTTCAGCAGCATTGAAAAAGTAAGGTCGGAGGAACTTTATATTCTAACGTTTTCTAGTATATAATAGAGGATCAAAAGGTCTCTGAATAGGGGAAATAAATACGTCAAAGTTCTCTTTTAAAGAGGTAAAAAACTTCTTGTATTTGTTTGACGATAGACGCCTGATCCTAGCTTGGATTGCATTACTGAAGCGTTACTGAACCAAAATTTGTTCCTTTTTTTTGTTAAGTCTGGCCCAGGTCTGCATGTGTTCCTAGGACAGAAGCTGAATAGAAAGATGTTTCAAGTGAGACTCTTGTAAGTGTTTCAAAAACATTCATAACGATTTTTCACTGCATTTTATAGCAGTTTCGATACAGCTGCAAATATCTGCCCTCTCTTCTACGCAGAGGGTCTCGCTGGGCATTTCAATAAAACCGGAAATAATTAAAAAATAGTAAGCGCTTTCTTTTCCCCCCTCCAACTTAGTCCAGTTCTAAACGTGAGCTCTTAAATTGGCTTTATTAAGTCAGTTATTCAGAAAAATTTTTGGAGAACCTTTAAAAGATTCTGGGAGCTGCGAGTCTAGCAGGCTGGAAAATCATTGAATTTTCTAAAAAAAAATGCTTGGCCCTTAAACAGCCTTCCCCCTCTCTTACAAAAATACTGAGCAGAGAAATTCAGCTAAAAACCTGAGTATTTATTACATAGTGGACTTGAACAACAAATGATCTCGGACACGAATATCGCTGATCGCAACATAACGCACTGCACTGCTTAGTATACTAACAAAGTTCAAAAGCTCTTAATGTGTTCCCTGTCTTTGTGACTCTCAAGGAATCCCGTTGCCCGCAGAGATCATGACTTTCGTTTCCAGGAAAAATGTCAAGGAGAAGACGTTTGCCTGAGGTTAATGGATTCCAAAGAAGGTCTGTTGATACATGAACTGGGTACTTCCCACTGACAAGAGGAAAACTCCACATGAAAAATTCCTTTTTATGCCAGTTCCAAGCAAATAAAGCGATTTCAGTTTGGTAGTCGAATTGGGCGTTTGGAATGCGTCTTTTTTTCGTGTAGATGGGGGAATTTCTTGATAGCGCGGTCAGTTGGTACTTACTCCTAATCTTACGCAAAGAAGGAATGAATGAATTACTAATAGTCGCATTACTGAGCATGGGTATTAGTTCGGGCGACAACTGTAATGATGCGCCATCTTGATCGCGTTTTCAACGCCTCGCAGGCGCTAAGATGGGAAGGAAAAAATCGTTTAGATACGAAATAGAACGGCGCGCGCCTAAGGCGCTGCAAAGCACTTTTTCGGTATTTTCAAAAGCGTTCATATCTTTTATCATATTTTAAATGTTTTTTTTATCTCTTTACACTTTCTCCACGAATTTTGCGATTCAAGAGAGGAGATAGCTACCGTCACTATGCGATACCTGTTTAAGCTGTTTCAAGGGAGGCGATTTCACACTATTTTGTCGCAGCTAATATCAGCTGTTTCTTACAATTAACCTGTCTTTGTTTTAATTGCAGTTTACGTTGTTCATGTGAAAGATTCTGAGGAGCATGTGTTTATCCGGGTTGGCAAATCTTCATGGATACGAGAAAAGGGAAACGGTTTGATTGTTGGTCATGTGAGTATTATAGTGGCCAGTAGCTTTATTTTGGTATCCAGTGATTATCGAGGATCTGCGCGCGTTAACTAGGGTCATTTTGGAATGCAGAATGCGCGAAAAACTTTCAGTCATATTTCGTCCTCGTAGTCGTCCTCGTCCTACCCCGCGTGGCAGGAGTTCGAAAGGGAAAGGGAAAGAATTAGGGCGCGAGACCGCGCGCGCTCTTGCACGCCCAAATTCCCCCTTCCCCTTCCCCTTTTAACGCTTGCCACGCAGGATATCCTCGTCCTCGAATCTAATGTTCCCTAATGTCCTTAGACCTGTTAACAATAACAGGTGTGTTTTCAAAGTCCAGCATAAAGTGAAGTTTCTAAGAGATTCATGGGAGCACGTGTAGCAGCATCACAGAGCACTCTCAGGATTAGGTAATTGAGAAGACAAAGACCTCGGAAACCAGAGGTTGTCCTCCTCGTACATTAGTGAACTTACGCAACAGGACAGGAGAGGAAAGAAGACGGAAAACCTTGTTTCTCCGTCTTTTTACGAAGAAACCAGAGGTGGCGTTGAGTAAAGTAGGCTGTTTTCTCAGGCTAATTTCACTACAAAATGAGATTTTTCTAATGGAATTGGCCTGGGTTGTAGATCTCCTTCTAAGCACCTCTAGTTAAGTAGCCTCAGGACATAAGCCGGATGATACCGCATAGATGGTAATAATGTGCGACAAGCTACCACAATGGTTGTTGTTTTTTTTTTTCAAATCGACAGGATTATCTGCAGGACGAAGAGTTGACATTCGAAAGACACTCTGGAATCCCCATTACTGTCGTTAAAGAAGAGCAGTTTTCAATTCAACTCCAGGCCGCCATTGGCATATAAGTAAGCCACCTCTCAAAAGTTTTGCGTTTGCCTTTTGTAAGAATTTGAAATAAAAGCAAGCAATGGTAAAGAGAAGAGTATAGCCTGTACCTTCTAAAGTGGAGTTGCTTCTTGTAATTGACGCTATTAAAACGACTCAGAACCATTGCAATGGTTTTTGGGATTAAGTTTTTGATGGAAGCTTTCAATTTCCAAGTGAGAAAAGATTGCTTGGCATTATGGGCCGAATTGTTCGAAGCGAGGTTAACTGAAATAACCAGCGTGAGCGATAAATGGCCTTCGAACACATGAACTGGTCGCAGAATAACTAGTGTTGTTATATAGGTGGCACCAGTTGTTCCAAAGATGGATAGCGCTGTCCACTATAATTATTAATGAATTTAAGTTGCATTATTATCGTAAAGAAAGAGTTCTATACAGCGCTGATTACTCGATTTCTCTTTTTATCAGTATAAACCCATCAGACATATTCATGAAGACATTGGTCACGGCAGCCGGTTTAATCCGCAGTTTGCCAAGATGGGGCCAAGATGATCAAAGAGAGGAATTTATCAGCTCTTGAGGAAACATTTATTTATAGGGTGTTTTTACATTAAATAATGGTGTTATAATCCACATGTTTTAAGAAAAACTGGATTGACCGGTACCTTTGCAGTTCATTATAGTGCTTTAGTAGCTGAGACTAATAGTAAAAGTAGAAAACGAAACATGTCTTGTTATTGTTTAATTCAAATACGCTTCCATTTAGCGTCATCCTTCAGGGTACTCTAGAAAATGTTAAAAATAAGGAAAAACAAATTACGAAACCGGCGAAAGATAAGATAAAAAAACGCTGGCGTTATCATCATCATCATCATCATTATCATCATGGTTGTTGTCGTGATCATTTTTAAAAATATATCAAACTAGGGCACCGTTGTGTCGTTTAACCTTGAATCAACGAATGCTAGAATCATAAACCAATACTGAAGCGTTACTGAACCAAAATTTGTTCCTTTTTTTTGTTAAGTCTGGCCCAGGTCTGCATGTGTTCCTAGGACAGAAGCTGAATAGAAAGATGTTTCAAGTGAGACTCTTGTAAGTGTTTCAAAAACATTCATAACGATTTTTCACTGCATTTTATAGCAGTTTCGATACAGCTGCAAATATCTGCCCTCTCTTCTACGCAGAGGGTCTCGCTGGGCATTTCAATAAAACCGGAAATAATTAAAAAATAGTAAGCGCTTTCTTTTCCCCCCTCCAACTTAGTCCAGTTCTAAACGTGAGCTCTTAAATTGGCTTTATTAAGTCAGTTATTCAGAAAAATTTTTGGAGAACCTTTAAAAGATTCTGGGAGCTGCGAGTCTAGCAGGCTGGAAAATCATTGAATTTTCTAAAAAAAAATGCTTGGCCCTTAAACAGCCTTCCCCCTCTCTTACAAAAATACTGAGCAGAGAAATTCAGCTAAAAACCTGAGTATTTATTACATAGTGGACTTGAACAACAAATGATCTCGGACACGAATATCGCTGATCGCAACATAACGCACTGCACTGCTTAGTATACTAACAAAGTTCAAAAGCTCTTAATGTGTTCCCTGTCTTTGTGACTCTCAAGGAATCCCGTTGCCCGCAGAGATCATGACTTTCGTTTCCAGGAAAAATGTCAAGGAGAAGACGTTTGCCTGAGGTTAATGGATTCCAAAGAAGGTCTGTTGATACATGAACTGGGTACTTCCCACTGACAAGAGGAAAACTCCACATGAAAAATTCCTTTTTATGCCAGTTCCAAGCAAATAAAGCGATTTCAGTTTGGTAGTCGAATTGGGCGTTTGGAATGCGTCTTTTTTTCGTGTAGATGGGGGAATTTCTTGATAGCGCGGTCAGTTGGTACTTACTCCTAATCTTACGCAAAGAAGGAATGAATGAATTACTAATAGTCGCATTACTGAGCATGGGTATTAGTTCGGGCGACAACTGTAATGATGCGCCATCTTGATCGCGTTTTCAACGCCTCGCAGGCGCTAAGATGGGAAGGAAAAAATCGTTTAGATACGAAATAGAACGGCGCGCGCCTAAGGCGCTGCAAAGCACTTTTTCGGTATTTTCAAAAGCGTTCATATCTTTTATCATATTTTAAATGTTTTTTTTATCTCTTTACACTTTCTCCACGAATTTTGCGATTCAAGAGAGGAGATAGCTACCGTCACTATGCGATACCTGTTTAAGCTGTTTCAAGGGAGGCGATTTCACACTATTTTGTCGCAGCTAATATCAGCTGTTTCTTACAATTAACCTGTCTTTGTTTTAATTGCAGTTTACGTTGTTCATGTGAAAGATTCTGAGGAGCATGTGTTTATCCGGGTTGGCAAATCTTCATGGATACGAGAAAAGGGAAACGGTTTGATTGTTGGTCATGTGAGTATTATAGTGGCCAGTAGCTTTATTTTGGTATCCAGTGATTATCGAGGATCTGCGCGCGTTAACTAGGGTCATTTTGGAATGCAGAATGCGCGAAAAACTTTCAGTCATATTTCGTCCTCGTAGTCGTCCTCGTCCTACCCCGCGTGGCAGGAGTTCGAAAGGGAAAGGGAAAGAATTAGGGCGCGAGACCGCGCGCGCTCTTGCACGCCCAAATTCCCCCTTCCCCTTCCCCTTTTAACGCTTGCCACGCAGGATATCCTCGTCCTCGAATCTAATGTTCCCTAATGTCCTTAGACCTGTTAACAATAACAGGTGTGTTTTCAAAGTCCAGCATAAAGTGAAGTTTCTAAGAGATTCATGGGAGCACGTGTAGCAGCATCACAGAGCACTCTCAGGATTAGGTAATTGAGAAGACAAAGACCTCGGAAACCAGAGGTTGTCCTCCTCGTACATTAGTGAACTTACGCAACAGGACAGGAGAGGAAAGAAGACGGAAAACCTTGTTTCTCCGTCTTTTTACGAAGAAACCAGAGGTGGCGTTGAGTAAAGTAGGCTGTTTTCTCAGGCTAATTTCACTACAAAATGAGATTTTTCTAATGGAATTGGCCTGGGTTGTAGATCTCCTTCTAAGCACCTCTAGTTAAGTAGCCTCAGGACATAAGCCGGATGATACCGCATAGATGGTAATAATGTGCGACAAGCTACCACAATGGTTGTTGTTTTTTTTTTTCAAATCGACAGGATTATCTGCAGGACGAAGAGTTGACATTCGAAAGACACTCTGGAATCCCCATTACTGTCGTTAAAGAAGAGCAGTTTTCAATTCAACTCCAGGCCGCCATTGGCATATAAGTAAGCCACCTCTCAAAAGTTTTGCGTTTGCCTTTTGTAAGAATTTGAAATAAAAGCAAGCAATGGTAAAGAGAAGAGTATAGCCTGTACCTTCTAAAGTGGAGTTGCTTCTTGTAATTGACGCTATTAAAACGACTCAGAACCATTGCAATGGTTTTTGGGATTAAGTTTTTGATGGAAGCTTTCAATTTCCAAGTGAGAAAAGATTGCTTGGCATTATGGGCCGAATTGTTCGAAGCGAGGTTAACTGAAATAACCAGCGTGAGCGATAAATGGCCTTCGAACACATGAACTGGTCGCAGAATAACTAGTGTTGTTATATAGGTGGCACCAGTTGTTCCAAAGATGGATAGCGCTGTCCACTATAATTATTAATGAATTTAAGTTGCATTATTATCGTAAAGAAAGAGTTCTATACAGCGCTGATTACTCGATTTCTCTTTTTATCAGTATAAACCCATCAGACATATTCATGAAGACATTGGTCACGGCAGCCGGTTTAATCCGCAGTTTGCCAAGATGGGGCCAAGATGATCAAAGAGAGGAATTTATCAGCTCTTGAGGAAACATTTATTTATAGGGTGTTTTTACATTAAATAATGGTGTTATAATCCACATGTTTTAAGAAAAACTGGATTGACCGGTACCTTTGCAGTTCATTATAGTGCTTTAGTAGCTGAGACTAATAGTAAAAGTAGAAAACGAAACATGTCTTGTTATTGTTTAATTCAAATACGCTTCCATTTAGCGTCATCCTTCAGGGTACTCTAGAAAATGTTAAAAATAAGGAAAAACAAATTACGAAACCGGCGAAAGATAAGATAAAAAAACGCTGGCGTTATCATCATCATCATCATCATTATCATCATGGTTGTTGTCGTGATCATTTTTAAAAATATATCAAACTAGGGCACCGTTGTGTCGTTTAACCTTGAATCAACGAATGCTAGAATCATAAACCATTCTCCACTTATACCCATGACGAACTGAGCTGACAGTCTCCGGGATCTTTACTGATCAAACAGATTCAATGATCAAGTCTGAAACTATGGTTTTTCTTTTTGCGCAAACGTACGAATATCGCAAGGTATGGGGCTATATATGCTACACCCTGATCGTAGTTCAGTCGAAACCAGCGGCGGACTGGAATGTTGATAAGCAGTTTACTTCGGACACAAACTTTGCCGAAGTATCTGAGAAGAAGAAGGACTATCTAGGGCGGAGTATATCTGGAGTTTCAAAGAGAGTGCACAAGCCCCTCCCCTCCTACCCCCTCCCCCCAAAAAACATCATTCATAAGTCAAACACGCAAATTTTTTTATTATCATTTTTCGCTCAGGTAATTATAAGACAGTTGAAGTTCGAAAGCTCAAGAACTTCAGCGAAGTTGAATTTTTACGAGATCTTCAAATGAATGACTGAAATCTCGATACTGCATGCAATAACTCAAATGATATGGGGACGTTTGGAAACTGCTAGTAACGAGTGTTGTAGACAAGAATGCACCTTTTAGAACAAAAAGGACCAAAAACAAAAGCTTTCCATAGATCATAAATTAAGTGTCACATGAAATATATAAAAAGGACTTTCTGAAGAGGAAAGCTACTTCTTCAAACGATCTCTTGATTGGGAAACAGTTCATATGCACAAAATAAGACTAACAAAGCTATAAAGAAAGCCAAGCGTAAATACTTTTCTGAAACACTAAATGCAAACAAAGGTGATCCTCATAAAACTTGGCGGTTCATTAATGAGCTTCAGTCTCCACAAAAGTAAATCAGCTGGACTGTCCCAAATCAAAATAGCTAGCAAGTCAAGTTTTCACGTCACCTGGTGATAAAGCTGAAGCGTTCAATAACCATTTTACAAACATTGGCCAATCTCTAGCTCGCGAAATTCCCAGTGTAGACACTGATCCCCTTTCCTATGTAAATCCTGTCTGAACGGAGTATTTTCTTTCGAACGGATCAATGTTCAAAAAGTCATAAAATTACTTAAAGTTATCGATGTTGGCAAAGCAACTGGTCTTGACAAAAATTCGCTAAAAATTGCAGCCGATGTTGTTTCGCCCTCTTTAACAGGCATTTTACATCAATCCATACTGACTGGGATTTTCCCCTGTGACTGGAAACTAGCAAAAGTGTCACCTATTTTTAAGAATGGCTCCAAGTCAGACCTAAACAACTACCGGCCAATATCTGGTATCCCTGCCGTAGCCAAAATTTTTGAAAAAATTCAGTCTATGATCAACTTTACTAATGAAAATGGTGTTAATCTGGTTTTTGCTCCCTACACAGTACTCTTACAGCTTTATTAGAGACAAACGATAACTGGTGTGTCAATATTGACAGAGGTCTTTTTAATGGCGTAATCTTCATTGATTTGAAGAAGGCTTTCGACACTATTGACCCGGAGATTATTCTAAAAAAACTCAGTTAATACGGCGTTGACCAAGATGCCTTGAAATGGTTCACATCTTATCTAACTAACCGTATGCGAACATGCATTGTACACTGTAGGTAGCCGTCCATTTAGTGAGAGCCCTCTTTACGGTGGCGTACCCTAAGGGTCAATAAAAGACCCCCTTCTCTTTGTATCTACGTAAATGATCTTCCAAACTGTTTGAACACTGGTTCTCCTAGAATGTACGCAGACAACACTAACGTTACCTAGTGTACATCATCTCGAATTGCAGCTCATACTGAGTTGAAACATATTAAAGCTTTCGCCAGAACAAAGTTTATGATTATTAGCTCGAGGCAGAAACTACAGACTTTAAATGACTACACAATAAACATTAATGTAGATGGCGTCCAAGTAAACTCATAGCAAATCTCTTGGCTTGGCTTTTCGTTTTGAGGATGAGGTGGGTCAGGATATTCTAAGGCGACGCTGCATTAGTTGGTGAAGGAAAGTTCTTAGCGACCCGTAATTTAATTATATAAAGTCATTGATATATTCGGTGAGAAGCAGACCGACTTTCTATTCTACAGAATCGTAACTAAGCTTAACATAAACTGAGAGAATTTACGAGAATTTTGCTCACAGTACAAAACCTAAACATTTATAAAACAAAACACCATAGAAACAAAATTAAACGAAATCGAAGATTTTGTTGACAATGGCGCTTAATTACTTGGAGATGCGAATTTCTTAGTGCACCAATGATAATTTGAAGCTAACTACAGGTGGTGAAACAATCTTAAACTAAGAATTATTGTGAAGGGAGCATCCTTGCCAGGGTACAGTTGAAATCTTCCAGCTAAGCACAAACTCGTTCGAAGGGTATCAACAGCTCTAACCTTTGATCATGAGCGGGTTAAGAAAACAGAAGGACTATGATTGGAAGGACTCCAATGTTGCGAATATCAAAAGCAAGGAAGACAGAGATGTAAGTCTTCATTTTGAACAGTTATGGAGGAAACTCCAAATTTGTAGAGGAACGCTATGCAATGTTCAAGTAGTTAAAAACAAGAGTACTTGTGTTTTGACTTTTATATTCAGTTACGATTGCATGCCGCAAATAAAGAACCTGCTTGGAACAGAGTCGAAGAGATTATGTCAGACAAGCTAGGGAAATCAACAAACAAGGAAGACCCTCAAGCATTGAAATTTTGGAGGGTGGAAAAATTTCAGGTAAACAACTTGTTTCCAATTTCTTCATAAAATTATAACTGACAGTCGTTTAATGTTTCCAACTTTTGACCCTGTGATTGAAATCCGCATTCTTTATTTTCATGAAATATGTTCGCTTTTCTGTTCATTATACAAAATTAATGTAAGATTCTGGAAAACTGAGCCCAACTTCCCCTCCCCTAACCCAACATTTTGCCCTGAGTAAGAAATAAGCGTTAACATTGAGTTAAGGGAGCGAGGGGTAAATGAAAGATAGGTTCCCAGATATTATACTGACCCTCCTCAGCAGCACTCTGAGAACGTTTTCTCACTCAAATACAAAGTAATTTGTCTTGGTTGTTGAACTAACCATGGTTTGTAAAAAAAAAATGCCTGACAGAGTATCACAGCCTTTAAAAATCTGTGAAATTTAACTTTGCAAGATTTTCTGCGAGGGAATTGACAACGCATTAATAATTAAAACCAGAAGCATCAACAACATCGCTTTTTGCACCATAAAAGGCAAAGTTTTTAAAATTCTTTGATGAGAGTTTTTGGCAACAATGGGTGGTTGTTAGCCCTTCTGGGACAGCCAAAAATCATTTTTTTCGTGATCCTGTTGGGTAAAGTAAGTTGGAGTAGTATCAGTGCATACTTTGTGCATTTCAAATCACACTCTGGAACATTACAATAAGTTCAATTGAATAAGACCGGTGTTCCAGCGTCAGGTGAATTGCATAATTTTGTAGCTTTTATTATTTATTGCATCAGTAGAGATTTAAATTAATTGGGCTCAGTAAATTTCAGTTCCTCTGTGACCATATTCAAAAAATGGAGATCAATAAAATTTTATCTTAACTTGCGTTTTTGTCTTTGTAGCCGTATAATTTCTAAAAATACAGATCGAGATACCTTTGTAAAGCATTTTATTTGTAATAAAAACAAATCAGTCTGTTTTCAACCTATGCCACCGGTATTAGAATTGTAAAGGAAATAAAGGGAGATGTAAAGAATCAATGATAAGAGGACACAGAAAAAATCTGAGCCCAATATGGGATTCGAACCCAGGACCCTCCGTGTTAGAGCATCTGATCTAGAACAAACAACGATTTGCGAAAGGTGTACAGAGGAACATAACCGACTTTTTTAAGGCTTGAATAATTACAGATAGCATAAATATCTTTTCTATTACATTTTTTACTCTAGTTACTGTTTACTGCAGCGAAAGACACCTTATGTTACAACTTTTTACGGTGCAGAATTGCGCTGTAGCTCGTTTCGTTTTAAAACAGTGATTTGTCTAGGACTGTACTTACTTTGTAGCTGAGATGTACAATGCTGTCTGAAAGACAGTGTCTTTGTACTGTGAATTAAAAATTTAAATACAGTTAAGAGACGAGTGTAAGCCTGGTTTTAGCTACTGGACACTTTAAACTGTAAGTGGAGTCATAAAAGTAACGTCATCATAGTGACCTCTTTTATACGGACACCTCTCTAATACGGACACTTCGCTCTGTCCTTTCGGTCTCCGTATTAGAGAGGTTCGACTGTATTGTGAACGCCTAGCAGCAAGACTGAGAACTGTTCAAAGCATTTTTTAATCAATTTTCTCTGATTAATTTCTTCGTGAACTACACTTGAACCACTGAAACTACTGGAACTGGTTTCATCTCCTCTTTTTAGGCTGTAAGGTCTGTAAGCTTTAGTTCGAGAGAACTGGAGGAGACTTCGACTTCAGTCTTATACCCCTTACCATAAAAATCGTGAAGGTACTCCAAAAAATGCTCTGCAAAATAGCCACAGGTCACGAAGCCGGTTCTTCTCAAAACTACAAAGTTACACTTGCTGATTCACAAAATTGCTTTAAACTTTCTTAAGAATAAATAACGCCTATTTTCTCCTAACACATCAATGTACGTACAGTTTATGAGTTTTAATATAATGATCACCAAAGGCAAAATTCGTTGAGAAAATGTATACGGAGATTTGCATCCAGATATTTGGGTTCAAATAATAGAGCGTTTTCATTCGCTTGGCTAGCGGCTATGCAAATATATTGCGTCAAAAGAAAAGGTTTACATAAGAAAAGACGTTCAACTCCCACACACACACTCCCACACACTCTTACCGCTACGGATCTCTCCAGCTCACGCATGGCCATAATTCTAACTCCTGATGGTCCAGATGGATAAAATGCATTATAAACTGGCTAAAGACAACTTCTATAGCGTTACTGTAACAAAAAATCGGAGAAACCGACGGATCTCCCTCACATCCAATATGACCGACACCTCGTTGCTTCAGCTTAGACTGCGCAAATCTCGCACATGCGCAGGTCGCGACGTAGCTCCTTTAAGCAGCGACTTTTTTGAGCCACGAACGTCAACCGTGCTCGTGCTCTCTTAAGCCGTTATTTTAAACAAATTTTTGGTCAAATCGTCCCTGGTATATAAGAGTAAAGATACTTATCAATACAAATTAGGTAGCGTTAAGGCATATTAAGAGAGAAAAAGGCTCACTTCCGGTTGAAAAAACGTCACTAACGAGTTGGGACAGTAACATGGCGGACGTGACATCATGTGAAAAGGCTCTGCACTTTTAGAGTCTTGGAGGAATCAAGTATATTGAAGGCTGGTGGGATTGATAAAGAGAAAAGAAGGAAGTACCTCCCCTAGGTAGAAACCAAGTAGCCTGCAATGTACGTTTTCATTCAGTTATCAATATAACCTTCTTTCTAAAAGAAGTATGGGATACAAAAAAAGGGGTGTTTCTGGTGTAAATCATTACCAAAATGCTGTTCCTTTTTCTCTTCAGGTGAAAGACTGGCTTCCCGAGGACGAAAAGGTGGTAAAATTCTTCAAGGGAGACTCGTACATCATTCTTCATGCTGAGTACAAAAAAGATCCTCAGGGAAGACTCAGAAAGGAAGTTAGTATAGACAATCTGAATTGCTTAATCAACAAAATGGGTTTAAACAATAATGCCATTAGGCATTTGATGCCCTACACCTGCAAATCGTAGACCCCCAGGCCAGAGGTTGGACAAGGAGGTCCTTTGCCTAACGGACAGTTTGGTTTGCTTTAGATCAATACCCTGAGCTTCACATCAATGCACTTAAAACTAATATCATCAGAACTTTCAAAAAAGCCAAACGAGAACCTCCTTATTGTTTAGCAGTAACTTTGAGTGGTATTAAACTGAATGTTCTCTTTGAATTAAAATTTTTCAGGCTGTAGACTATGACATCCATTTCTGGATTGGAAAAACCTCCACACAGGATGAGTACGGAACAGCTGCGTACAAAACAGTTGAACTAGACAGTAAAGTAAGAAACAAAATATTTTGCAGGATAACGTACCCAGTAAAATAAGTCAACGATCCTTGACCTTCACGCAAAGTGAGTCAGATCAGTTCAAATCTGCTTGGCAGTGGTTTTTCTTTTTATTTCGCGCTTGGCATTACAGTTGCATTGGTTTTGATTCTTGCTTTCAATACTGGTTGCATTCTTCAAGCACTTGTACCGGTTGCATTTTCCGCGTCTGTCACCGGCTGCATTTTTTCCGCGCTTGCAGATCAAAGCACTGAAACATAGCCTTTCCAGCCCCAAAGTTTCTCACTTGAAAAAGTTAATTAGCCACGTGACTCGAAGACACCTTCTGTGGAAAATTTTTTTATTATTCAATTCTGCAGTTAGGAGATGAAGCGGTGCAACATCGGGAAGTTGAGGGATGTGAGTCTGACGATTTCAAAGAATATTTCAAGAAGATGGGAGTAAAATTCGAAACCATTGAAGGCGGGTGAGTGGAGTTAAAGCTCGAACTGTATGGCATTACGGGATTTCCTCTCAATTGGCTGAAATCATGTTTACCCCATAGAAAGCATAATTGTGCATAACAGCAGCATTTCAAAATCCAAACGGTAACCTGTATAGTACCTCAGTGGTCTGTTTTAGGTCCTTTACTATTTCTTACGTAAATCGAAGATATCCATTCAGCTTCAAGTGTGCGCTGATGGCACTTTATTCAGTGCTGCATCAGAATTCGGCGACTCTAGGCGTTTCTTCATAGATAAATCAAGAAATAGTTGACACTAGAAAGAGATTATTGTATTATATTTATAATTACCTATCAGGGCTAAGGCACGAGATCAGTAGATATCTCCTTAAACTTCTTAATTGGGATAATCTAGCCTCGTAAAAGTGCCATAAGCAACCTTTTTCCTATGAGCTGCTAAGGCAATCCAAACAAATCTCGCCCTTGGTTAGAGGAAAAAGCATTAAAAGTTCTATGATTTCTATGAACGGAACGCTACAAAGGCTCACGACTTGGAATCAGCCAAATCTGAGAGCTCTAAATTCTTAAAAAATATTTCTGTTATTGCTTCTTATATAAGTATTTGAATACGAAAGAGGTAGAGATTTGTCGACATAATGTCGTGCTTCTGTTTGTTCTTTAATGAAGTTGCACTTATTTACGTACTGCTTTCTTGTAAGAGGGGTTTTTACTAACTTACTGAAGCTACCGTACAGACACAAAGGCGATTGATTCATTTTTTTTCCCTTTTCACGTTAACAGCATTGCCTCTGGATTCAGGCATGTTGAAATCGGAGCTGTTGAAAAGGCAGTCACTGTGGTACATTACAAACCGTCAGCTCAAAAGAAGGATCAGTTCCAGGAAATTTTTATGGAATATGAAAGGAAGAATCTGTGCTGTAATGACGGATTTTTGATAATATTCTGCCATGATCGTTATTACAAGGTAAATTTCTACTCCTATCAAATAATTATAAATATTCGACTTATCGTCTGTTCTTCAATTCACTTGTCCGGCGCAGGATACAAGACTACAGTGTCCGGCTGATACATCTTCTAGATGCCGCAGTGGGACACCCAATGAAGTCCGTCCTTATCATCATACCGCGATTATGATTCACAAAATTACGCACAAAAAGCTCCTCCCTGGGGGATTTCACGTAGCTCGTAAAACTACGGCTTACAACCTCAGAGACTCTAACTTTAAGTTAGCACTGGAAATCCAAGACCGAATTCTTGAAAAAGAGCTTTTCGTATAGCGGTCCAAAGCCATGGAATTCTCTCCAAACTTTCTAGGTTTTAAGAAATGTTTGTGCAGTCTCGGTCTCCAGTGCACTAATTTCGTAATTTTAGTTGTCTACCTGTCTACCCTTACACCCGTCTGCCCCTCCATTAAGCTGTCTGTCCGTCCTTCCGTCCCTCCATCCGTCCGTCCGTACGTCAATACACGTATTCCTCCGTTCTTCCTGTCCGTCCGTCCGCCCATCCATCTATCTATATCTATATCTGTTTGATTATCTGTCTGTATGTCTGCGTCTTTATCTATTCAGGTACCTCTCTCTGAGATAAACAAATCCTTTATTTAAACACCATAACAATTAAACACAAGCACGTAAAAGCTTGTGAGACCGTGTAAATCACAAGCCGCCATATCTTGTTGATATATTTTTTACCAAAAAAGGGACTGATAGTTGGCGGATATTGGGGTTTTACATCGTAACTGAGATATTTTCATCGGGTACACAACGACCACGCGCACACTTATAGCGTACGCAAAGTGGACAGGTTAGAAATTTTCAAACGAAACTGAACCATTATATTTGGGTTTTCTTTGACTCCAATGTGCTTTTAGGACAAAAAGCAACACCAAATATGGTGAGTCAGCTGCCTTACGGTCAACCGATACATAACTTATTGTTTATTTTTTTCTAGTTAAAAGGCAAGAATGTTCCATTAGCCTTCAACGAGCAACCGATCATCAACGCCATAAAGGCGTTTCAGGTATTACTAACTTAACACACATATTACTAAATGTAGTAATACGGTTGTTTTAATCAAGATCAACATAGGAGGCCGGCTAGTCTCTCAAAGAGGAGCCTACACGCGACTGACAGATTTGCGGTAATTAAAACCCTTCTAATGGTAACCTAAAGTAAGTTTCAACATCAAACATCTAACAAAAGCAGACCTACAAATACTTGCATCTACTTTTTATGTTATATACAGCTCCGTAAATATTATTAAAGTATTTGACTCAACATCGGTAAGATTATCAATCGTTTTCTTCCTTGCAGGAAACAAAATATCCCAAAGCATTCACTGCGGAAACTTTCGGTAAGACTAAAGATAATAAGTCAGTTTACTACCGTATTCACTTGAGCCTTGAATCAAATAATCGCCGCGGACTGGAGTAAGACAGTCCTTGTGTTCGGTGTTCAAGACATCGTTCACGTAAAGGCCGTAACCAATATTTTAAAATGATTTTACCCACCGTAGGAAAAACAAATTTTAATTGGCCGTTCCGAGTTCCAAAACCCTCACTTTCAAAACGAGGCTGAATTCAAAATCTTTCTTGAGAATTCTTGAGAACATTTGCATGAGAATAAAGAAACATTTTCATATAAATGGCTTCCCACTTAGCCTCTCTTTAAAACAGAGGCTGGAGGCAACTCGGAAAAGGCCTAATCCTCCGGTACTTTTCGACAAATATCGCTTCAAATTGTGCGAGAAAAAAAAAACAAAGGGGAATGAACTAAAGCTGCCTTATAAACGAACTGTAGTGTCTTATAAACTTTGAAACATGAGGCACAGACGGTAGGTTTTAGACTGTCACAAAGCACAAATTGCAGTGGTGTTGAACAGTTTATCCTTTAAAGCTCCGTGAAAATAAGCATTTATCCTCAACTCTTCTTAATTTGTCTCCTTTCATTCTTATCTGGTTCTTCCAACAATCCCGAGTTATAAGATTACTTAGACCAAATCTGCACGAATTATTTAGGAGTTTTTACATGTTGTTTGCTCTATTACAGACAGCCAAGAGGAACTCGAAAAAAGTGACATCTACAAGGTAGCCATTTTAGTTGGAGGTCATTAGTTAGAGTGAAAATAAGGGCTCAAAAAGCAAGAAATTCTTGCTGTGGGTCAAAATTTTATTAATATTTAGTATAAACTAAAACAGTGGTTAGTGTTTTTTGCTACAGTGGTTAGTGTTTTTTCCTACTTTCCCGGCGCGTTTTTAGCGTCTGTCACGTGTACTAACTATAAGCTCTCATTGGCTAATTTTCTCAGACACTTAGGGACAATTGCGCTTGTTTAAGAAACTCTTTTAAGTCCTTCTCTTTTCATTATTAAACTGATAAGGAGGCTAGCTAGAATTAAGAGGATCTTAAAAGAATAATAAAAAACTCTTAAAAGTGAAATTAAGGGGTATTTTGTTTCCTTTCTATTGACAGAAATCTCCCCAGTTTATTGTAAAGTTGATCAGGTATGTTGTTATAAACCATCTCTCTCCTAACAGAAAGGCTTACTTCCTACGTTTTTATTACAAGAAGGCATTCCTTTTAGTCTAATCAAATTAAACATCTCTTTTTGTCCAATTCTTAACCTTTTCTTTAAAACTGACAGGAGATTGCCTAGCAACAACAGGATGTAGCTCCTATGTCCAGACCAAAAACTGATACCGTCAACTCTTTCCAAGACGAAAACCTTTAAGATCGGCGATAAGTGATAGAATTGACTAAAAGGAGTCAAGAAAAGCAGGGACCAACTCTAGGTGTCCGTTAGGCAGGCAGCCAGTCTAAGTGTTCGTTTTAGCGAGGTATATTTGTCTGATAGAGAGTCAGCTAAAAGGAGTAACGAAATACAGGGAGCCGCTGTTAGTGTCCGTTTTAGCGAGGCGTCTGTTGAGAGAGAGCTGACTTTATATCGTGAACCCCGCTTTACGGACACTGTGACAGGGTCCCTTTAGCCTGTGCCAGGCTCTCAGATAGTACAGTGGGAACGTATTAAAACGAGCAGAACGACTTTCCACCACCATCTCGGAGCCTGGAACAGGCTAGGGTCCCTTTGGTGTCTGTGTTCAGTAACCGAGTTCCACTGTACTCTATTTATACAGAGTGACAGGCACTGAGAAGAAGGAATTTGGCTTCAAGGTCGAAGGAGAATTCAATGACTTACAGGATTTTGTAGATGATGCAAAGAAATTGGATAGAGATGATGGTACGTTACTCTGCCGGCATATCCTTGGAGTCCGAGGGGTATTCATTCAAGGGATGGGGGAATTTAAACCGTTGATACGTACAACTCGCTTATTGGGTAGAAAAATATAGCCACTTAACTTAATTAACCCGCACAAATGTAATCATACGGGGTAAAAAGTAAACAAAAGAGAAAAATGACATTAGAGTGTAATACTGCGTATAAGTCTACTATCTATTTCATGGGTTAATTTAAAATGAATCTTAAAAAATGCATATTTCTGCCCAATCACGAAGCCCCGTTCCGTGAGAGTAATTGTCCTGGGGCCCTTTCGTTTATTTTTCAAGATTTCAGCCGGTTTTTGTTAAAAACCTCCACACGATCCCGACTTAATGCCCCTTGGTCTCCGAGGATGGTTGCTGTGTCGGTAGTAATTGAAAAAGTTATTTTGAAGGGCGTAACTTAACCCTTTCGCCTTAAAATACAAATACAACTAAAACTGAACATTTACCAACTATTATGAAATAGTGAACCCTTTTTACGGACTACAAAAAGGTCAGTTTCTAGAGATTTGCCTACATGGTAGAGATTATGTGAGTTACGATGTTATAGAGGGGGACGAAAATGTTTTTCCTCTTTATTACAAGCCTGTTAATCTCGGAAAACACAATCATAAGCAGCAGGAGTCAGTTTTCGCATCGTCATGAAAAATGCCAGAAAATAAAATGACACCCTACTTCATAACTGTGTTGCGAACTGTCATCAAAACCTTTTCGTCCTCGTTAGTCTGATAAGAGGCGTTTTAGGAGAGTAAACGACGGCCATGAAGGACAAAAGGCCCCCACAACGACAAAAATAGGTTCCATGTATAAATCCATGTTAATTTGACTTAACTCATGCGCAGGAGCGGATTTTCTTGTCTCCTGCTTGGTTTAAAAGTTTGAGAAAATATCAAAGCGACAGAAAAGAGAAGAACTTGTAGTAATTTTAGTTTTTTTTTCTTAAAGTCTTCCTCATCGAGACAGATGGACGCCTGTTTGTGTGGATCGGTAAGGATGCCAGCTCAAAAGAAAAGCAAAATGCCATGTCTTACGCACAAGTAAGTGACGAAGTAACGTTTAATTGCCCTCGTATAAAGTCGTGAAACGTTTGAAAGGGTATCTACCATGAATGCCAAAGAGCTGATTTTCTTTTGCGACACCTTTATCATATTTTTTCAACTGACTGCCTGCACTGTTTGACAAGTCGTTTCTCAATCTGTTGGAGCGAGAGGACATGCGTCTGTTCGATCTCAAATGATTTTATAACCATTATCTTATAACTACTATATGTGCAAGAAAGGTACAGAAGGTATTTAAGAAGAACTCCCTTGGTTTGGAACAATAGTCTTAAAAACATTATTACCGTTTAGAATTCGCAAACACCCACCATCACACCTACTTCCACATTTACATTAAGTTGAACTTATGTATGGTCAAAGGGATCTACATCTTTGGAAGAGCATTACGTATAAACACGTAATTCAACACTCTAGTTTCTATCGTTTTGTTTTATTATTTCCTACAGAAATACTTGGATACTCTGGCCCAGAATAAGATGAGTGGCATCACTGTTTATAAAGATGAATGTGGAAAATGTCCACCTTTTGTCAAATCATTGAAAAATAAAAGAGGTAACTCAATTGCTATTGAATTATAAGGAAAAAACAAGCTGTCGCTATAATAAAGTGCAACTTACATTTAACATAAAAACCATTACGAAGGTAACGACGACGATCATGGTGATGACGCTGACGAAAATCATTACGACAACGACGACGATGATGATGATGACGATGACGACAACAACGACGACGACGACGACGATGACGGTGACAGTGGCGACGCCGACCCCGATGACGATGAAGATGACGACGACGACAACGAAGAGGCAATAGGGAGCTTAAGCAACGACGATGGAGACGTCAACGAGAACGGCAAAAAAGCAATAAGTTTAGATTGGCAAAACAACAACTGTGCACGTGAATCACGCTTTTTTGTACATTTCTTTTCCGTCACCGCACGACTACAACGTGAAAATACCTAATTTCACGTTTTGTGGAGGACGTAAACACAAGACAATAACTTTCTTTTTCTTTTCCTGAACTTCGATACAGTCTTTTAGAATTCAACTCCACAAAGCAATGGCAACATTTGACGAATTGAACGAGATGGAATAAGTGCGATAAAGTTTGAAGCAGCGGGAATTCACTTTTCAAGTGACGTTTTCGTAGCCGTCGCCGTCGCCGTCGTCGTTGCTTAAGCTCCCTAACGATGATGACGACGACGATAATGATAACGATAACGATGATGATTGTGCTGGTGATATCATAAAATTCCTAAAATAATCTCCGAGGTTTTCATTTTTAAACAGCCTTTTACGAAATATAAGAAGGGAGGAAGGAAATATCCGACCGAAAATCTCGTGGGAAATTTGCATAAGCAATCTTTCTTTGCAAAGGTTACCGTTTCTTTATAGATAAATGGTGTGATCACGCGACGTTTTACCCCAACTGACAGATGATAGATGATGTTTACATTGTTTCTAAATGTTATTATTATAACAATTTCTCAGTTTGTTGACCTGTGAATGTTTAAAAGTAATACCGGCCACTTGGGTCCGAAGTTAATTTCGAAAAGGAAAATGTTACGTGCGGGTTGAAATGGCATTACATATTATATTAGATCTTTATAACGCTTTGGTCCTATTATTACATTTAGGAACAGTTACTACTCTATGCCCTATGTATGACATGTATATTACTGAGAAATCCTTGTGTGAGTCGCAAATTCAGCTTTGTATAGTCAAGTCCAGAGTTCTTGTACAACCGGCGACACATCCCTGTAGGAAATTTAAGAAATTCCCTTCTCGTGTATATTCGCTTACTTTCCCGAATATATCCGCTTCCTTCGTGACTTGATTGTGTGTTTGTTTACGTAGGGGCGGAGAAACGGGGAAACAAAGGACGCCTTTAGAATCACTTCCACAAGTAGCTTCCGGATGCAGTAACAAGACACCCTTCCATAATCCGCGGCTTCAAGAATGTTTATGGACCTTTTGATTGCAGTTCTTCGCATTTATTTTGGATCTTTTATAGACCTTTATAGGTTTAGAGAATAGTAGAAAAAGCTTTGTCGTAACATTTGACATCATGCAGAAATGCACCGCCATGTGTCATGACGGTATCTTTTTGTTAAGTAGCCTGCGTCACAAATGAACTAAACTTCTGTTTACGTCCGTCTGCGAAACAGCGCCGAAATCCTTGTTCTGAGCCCTTGCCTGTGTACCAATTTGATTACGCGCCATGCATATGATTGGCCTGTTGAGAAACAATTGTCGATTTGTCAATCAGTTTTAGGGAATATTCGAAACGTATTTCCGGTAATCCGTTGAGTTGAGTCCGTTGGGGGCCAAGAGCAAAGATATCGGCTGCGTTGCTTCGCAGACCTTACTAACAGGGTTTAGATTACGTCTGCGACACGGGCTATTCTTTAAGGGACCGGTCATTATTCATCGCCGAGGGGGGCGGAGGATTTGGGGCTAAACAAGGTGAAATTTAGCCGATCCCCCCTTCGAATGTTACTTCACTGAAGTGATCCCCCCTAATAACTTTTGATGACTTTCGCGATCCCCCCCCCATGTCTTCATTTTCCAAGCAAATTTGAGTGGTCCCCCCTCTGAATCCTTCCAAAGTTTTGAGCGATCCTCCCTTTGATTCTCCAAAAAATCAAGTGATTCCCCCTAAAATCCTCCCCCCCCCCTCCCCCAGGCGATAAATAATGACCGGTCTCTAAGAGAGAGAATTACAAAAAACAAATGATTAGTGCAGGTTGTAATAGAATAAATACGGCAAATAAAGCTTGACTCAGTTCTTTTGCGTCAGTTACAATATTTCGTAAAAACGATTTAATGCTTTTAAATTATATCTTACACTAAAAAACGGCAGGTTTTCCGGCATATATTTTATTACTGATTACTTTCTCATTTAAAAAGAAAACGCGCATGGTTGTCAATTTGAAAAAAGGTTAGCCGGCTAAGTTAACCTAACGGGCCAGAAAAGATCACAACTTGATCCGCTGTTAAGATAGATACTGGATATTTCTCACTTTTCAATATTTCAGTAATATCTTGTAATACGTTCCACCCAAGGCTCGTTTTTATGTAACTCGTGCACTTGTATTGGCTAAATGAAGCAAACAATCATGATATCACTGCGTGACACTGCGCCAATTTCTCGCTAATCTTGCTAAGACAAAAATAATGGAAAAGAGTTGATTAACGCTTAACACAAAAAAGGCGTATCGTTCAATATAGTGATTTGGCTACGTTTTAAGTTGCATTTTCTCCTCGTTCTCGCGATCGCCTATTTTCGGGATATAATCATAAAGGAAAGCGCGTCCCGCTTTCGCTTCTCGCTCGTCTCCAGCACCTCGCCCGGCTACAAACATCCTTGCTGCGTGCTAAGCCTTAGGGAAAACTAATTCAGAAGGAACTGACATCTCTGATAATGTCATTTCGTTGTAGTGGCTATGGCTTATTAACAAGGAACGCAGCTATTTTTTTTCGCAACAGTTTTTATGATAAGTAGAAAAACAGTGATGAATCCTCAAGCAGAGACAGGCAATTAGACAGAAAAGCACTCACTGTCTTTCTCGAAAAAAGTTATTACTTGAAAAAATGTCTCCTGGACATTATTGTGACAGTACATATACTATCCTGTAGATTGTGTGGTGACAAGCCCAACCCTGACTAGAATCCGGCTTCCAACATCCACCGAAAAACTTTTAAAAACATGAAAGTAAAATAAGGAACTAAAACAATCGATAATAAACACCCGTAGGTAGTACGCTGAACGCTGACTCTCAAGTCAACCAATCAAACGCACGCCACTGTGTATCAGCAACAAACACTCACCAAACTAGCAAGCCCTTGCAAAAAAGCACAACAGGAGCATCATAACCTGTGGTTATTAACAATGGATGCCTTACTAGGAAATCACAGGCGAAATCACAGGCGAGTCTAGAATGTATTAGCCATATGGCAACTCAATCAAATGTGTCTTACTTTGACTTTGAGTAAAAATCTAAACTTACTTTGCGTGTGTCTGAAAATTTTTAACCACAAATACACGTAAATGAAATGGCTTCTCACTAAGTATTTAAGACAAAGCCACCCTCGTTATATAAATGGTAAGGTATACTTAAATTCTCCGAAGCATATCGAAAGTCAGCTCGTTGGCCAGCTCGCCCATCAACTCTATAAACGTTTGACATGAAGCGCCGAATATGCATTATCATGAAATTACTCTGACTATGAATCAATCAGAGTTCACCTCATGCCACTTGCTTGTTCAAGTGAATAAGGTGAACCACTAAAACGCAGCGTGTACGAGACTGGAGTTGACAGAATCTAATCTGTTCTTTCCAACAATAGGTGCTATACAATAATATGACAGCTGGGCTTTTGCTAACCAGCGCCACATTAGACACGAGTTGTTATTTCTCTTATCGGTTTGAAGATTGTATTTTTACTCAAGTGTGCTGTTGAAAATTCTCCACCAAGCAAAAAACGCTTCCACAGGTATTTTAAAATAGTTCAAACCATCAATCATGAGCGGACTGGTGAAACAGAAGGAGTACGACTGGAAACACTCAAATATTGCAAATATTGGAAGCAACCAAGACATACTGGTAAGTTCGTATTTTTTGAAATCAGACGTCATTAAAGGTACCGGTCAAGTGTTCTGCATTTTGGTGAATGTTTTGCGAGCGTGGTACAAAAAAAGACATTTTTTTAGGCGAGAAAGAATGCTGCCTTGTCCGAGCCAGCCTGGAGCGAAACAAAGAAAATGCAAGAGAATGGACTGAAAATTTGGAGGATCGAAAAGTTTGAGGTAAAAACGTTGTTTGATTTATTTTGAAACACCTGTCAAATGCAAAGAGATAAACTTGATAGGGGGCCTGACCTCGAATGCGATGAGCCCTTTTAAAGGATGGTTGTGTCATCCTTTGTACGGGCGAAGATATTTTCTAATGAATAATCTGACTTTGTGCAGCAAACAAAAAAATTATTTTAAACTTATTTGATCAGTAGAACGATTAATATTAATGGAATATGGAGATATTTGCACGATAAAAAGTTCTGCATGGGTTGGCGTCCTAAAGCTTTTTTTCTTGACGCAAGGACATGTGACACAGAATACTTAAAAACAATTCATGGCGATAAATTCCAAACTAAGACAATGAAAGACATGAAACAAAAACTTCACAGATTGGGGAAGCATTTCCTCTGTCAAAGTTTAAGACATGTTTCTGCTCTTGACTTTGGCGATATAGCTCTAAATTCACACTAACTGCATGCAGGCAAACTTAAAACGTCATCTTTTCTTAATAGTTCGTACACTCATTCATTAGTTCTTGGCCCGTTTTGACAAAAAAAAATAGAGCTTTCACGTTTCTGGTTCACTATCGCTCTTTAAATCTTAAAAAAGGTTATAATATAAACACAATGTTACAATTTTGTGGTCTTGACGAAAATAAAGGCTAACTCAGGGCGGGTTGTAGGCTAGGCAGGTAATCAAGCCTATTTGGGGTGTTAAATCTCGCATAAACTCTGTCTGAAAACTCCTGAATTTAATTGAGCGGTTTGCGCTGTGACCATAGCATTTCGCCGAATCTGTTGTCGTTAGATTTTTTACTGCTTTTTTACTAGGTGAGAGAATGGCCTGAGGAAAAATACGGAACATTCTTCAGTGGTGACTCATACATCATTCTTCACACGGAGGAAGCATCTCCAGATTCAGATGTTTGTATATGTTTTCAGTTCACTTTTTTAGAGTTATTAGTCTCTCTGTATAAGCTCATAGGTAAGATAATTATTGCGGTCAAAATGGATACTAATGATACAAACGCCAGCCCGTGATTTATCTTGGAAGGCGTTGAATGTGGCTAAATTTGAATTCAATATGAAACTCAAAGGTCCTGTATTCGTTGTTACCCATTGCTCGCATTTAGAAAAGTCGAGTAGTGATTGACAGATTGACTGGTTTTGACTGTGTTTGTTTTGTTTTGTATTTTTCTTGCTATTTACACTCATAAAGTAATTGTAAGCAGCTACAGAACGCAAGCACCGGGATAGTATCACCTAGAAACTCTATTAACCCCCCTGTCTAGGCCCGAAGATTAAAGGTTTTTGTAAGCAGCCCCTCCGCCCCTGTAATACCGACATGAGATATTAGACGGAAAGCACGTGACAAGGAAATAAATTCAGCTTATGGCAGTTCTTATTTCGACCTTATATGATAGGCGGGCGCCATGTTGGACAATGTAACGAGCCTTTTAGAAAATGAGTCCATGTATCACATTTATTTCGTATTACGGTAAAACAACTTTGCGCTGAATTTTTCGGGTATAATAGTTTTGTTTAATCTTAATTTTCGGCATCTGAAACCTTTTAACGTTTCTGCAAGAACGGAGGATCCGGCAATGCTTACTGAACACAATAAGAAATCAAGCCATGCCAATAATGTTAAATATTAATTAACATTCAGTAATTTACAATACATTTGTCTTGAAGGTGATATTTTATGATGTCCACTTCTGGATTGGAAAACATTCTACACAGGATGAGTACACAACTGCTGCGTACAAAACTGTCGAACTTGACGCCTATGTAAGGAAAGACCGGAATGCATACGTAGCTTTAAAATGCGTCTTTGTATTCCGCTATAACTAATGGTTCGAATGAAACAACAAGGAAAAATCCTATCGCCTAATTCAATTGGAAGCAACTAAACGGAAAATTGATCGCGACTTTTGAAACAAGTGATTTCCCTCCATTCCTATCAGTTTTCCAGGCGGACCGCCACCTGGTTAGCCTAGTTTGATGTGCGCTGGTCTGCCGAGCGCGAGGCCGCTGGCTCAAACCCCGGTCGGACCGAGACTCTTCTAGCCCTTCTAGCCCCGTCTTCTATCCCTTGAACATATAACAAATTCCATGGGACGCTAAAGAACCCACTCACTGTTCGCAGAGAGTAGAGGATGTACTAGTCCACAATGTGGACTTTATCGATTTAACATTCACATTAGGAACCTGCATTCATAATTCATTACTTCATTGACAGTAAACTGCAGCAAGCAGCACCAAACCATTTCAGTAAATTAACCCAGAAAAGCCCTGAGGCGGGTGGATGGTAGGATATTTACAATTTCCACACGTCTAGGGCGCATTGGTTACACATTTTTCCCGCGCCTGGCGAGAGCTATATGTTTTTCCGCCATGTGGCTTGGGATACTTAATTTTTCCTCGCTTAGCGCGGAAAAGTCATTACCCACGTTTTACGATACCTGTATACTGCGTAAAACAGCGTCTACTTTCAAGAAATGAGGGCATTTTTATAGAGAGTAAGAGAGATAGCAAGAGCCATCATGGCTCTTGGTGATAGGAAATAGCAGTATGAATGTTAATCCTGAGCTTATTGTTCTAAGTAACGCATTAGCATGGTCGGCATTCTAACCGGCTTCCTCCTAAGTGTACCTCGTGGCACAACTATTATTTTGATACCTTGACTGATGAAATGAAGACCTTCTCTGTTCAATATTCATGAAATGTTTCCCTTCCATCTCTACAGTTGGACGATAAAGCGGTCCAGCACCGTGAAGTTGAAGCCTTCGAGTCTGAGGCATTCAAGGAATACTTTGTCGCTTTGGGAGGAATCAAAATAGAAGAAGGCGGGTGAGTTAAATCAAGAAAAAATGAACATTAAACTTGCATGAGAATAAAATCGTTTTTAATACGCAAAATTTATTGTGAGAGGCGTCCCATGTAAGGTACTCCAAGACAGTCTTGGATTCTGGATTCTTGTCAGTGGAACTGTGGAACTTGGATTCCGGATTCCAATCGTTAGCGGGATTCCAGACTACAGATTGCTGAATTCCGGATTCCAAAGCCCAGGATTCCACATCCTTCAAGCAAAAATTTCCTTACATGGGACAGGTGAGAGAGCGCGCACCACATCTGGCGAATTTTTACAACAAAAAGAAGCTTGAAGTTTTGTGAATCGGAGTCCCTCCCAAGATTAGATCCAAGGCCATCCTAAGGTCACCATCATTCACAGCCCTTAAGCTAACAAAACTTTCAAGCGCCAGGGCGCCAAGAATGTCGATCAAATTTCGAACTCTTGCCTCAGTTTTAATAGCATTCTGACTCATTGAACCACGCCATACATGTATTACAGACGTGGGAGACGAAAGCACACTAGCGCGTGAAAATGTATTTTCCGCTGGTATGTTACAATACTCTACAGGCCTTTCTGCCACCTTCTCACTGGTTCCTCTACACCATAAATTCGTCCGCGTAGAATGTGTTCTTTCTCTCTCTCGCATTTCTCTTTCACTCTCTCACTTGGTTGGAATGCCTGAGCATCAAACCATCAAATAGCGTTGTTTGTTTTGTAGGTGTTACATTTAAAAGGAAAATAATTTACGTTCGTTTGAGCGAAGCGAATTAGAACGTAATCGTCTTGTGGTCTGAATTAAACTTGTGAAAATAATGCCGGATAAAAACCCTTTTATCCTTATTGGATGGTATATCCTAACTAAAACCAACAAACAACAAAAACGGCCCGTCATATGACCACCATACCTGGAGTAAGTATAATTTCGCATCCAGATTTCACACCAACAATCAGATATAGTTTTGATACTCTCACCGCAGCAATATCATCCTTCTGTAGACAAAGGGGATAAAATGGGATTAGCGAACACAATTCCGGGTAAAACATTGCAACTGACTAGTATTCCATACACTCATTAGCTATAATTAGTGGTAGCGCTGTGGAAGCTTTGCTCTGACTTGTCAGCCTTAACCTGTTTAGTAGGTGTCGGTTTTTAAGGACGAAAGAAAGAAATTATGAGGAAGCGCGCGCACACGAGGGAAGAAAAGGAAAAAAGGCGTGTTCTCTCTTGCGCTCTATAAAAAAAATAATAACCAAAAACACTGACAGGCGCCCACCACCATAGTTAATAAAGTGGAAATGTTATGAAGCCGGACAGACTTCTTTGTTAGATGTTTTTTGGACCTGACTGTGCACAACGTTCAATAGCCTATCATTTTGAGCTTACTGACCAATAGAAACATCGCATTAATAAATTCATTCACAATTTGTGAACAAAAAACAAAGGATTGCGCACGGTCAGGGAGCTTCCAACATAAACTGCAACACCGTTAATTTCATCTTTGATATTTGCCGGCTTTCCTAACAAGTCTCCTCTACCAACTATGCTGCCGCGCAGGATGCCTCTGTAAAATTGAGTCTAAGATATTAGACAACTGCAGCAAACCTGCTTCCATGAATTTGAATCGTAGTAATAAGAAATATTGTGGAATTCAGTAGAGTGGAAATCCTGTTGTATACTGTGTGTTTCTCTCCCTAAACAGCAGTTCTTATGTGGGCAACAGTGAGACAATACTGATGCCCCCATTTGACGAATAAAACGACGCAAAAGGGGAAGTTTCGTCGATCACTTAACAAAACTTGATAAAAGGTGTCTTTATAATTTGAACAGAATTGAATCCGGATTTCGACACGTAGACTCTACCAAGCAAGATACTTTGATAGTTCATTTCAAAAAGTTATGGAACGAGGAGTATAAGAGGTACACTTATGAAGCCATGTCCTCCCTGGACCCTAGACATCTGTTTTGTGACGATGGATTTTTGGTGATTTTTTCTGGCGAAGATCGCATTATCCAGGTAACCTTCTACTGAGGGAGTTAAAGGGCCAAATTTAAAGCAAAAGCAGGATAATTTACGTGGCTAGTATGTAATGAAGTACAGAGAAAGTCTAAAATCTATCAAGCGGCCGCAATAGAGGAAGGGATAAGTGCCTGGGGGGGGGGGGGGGGGTTGTGCCTTGGAATTTTTTGGGGGGGGTTGTCCTCCGGGACCCGGGATAGCGTATCTGTCACACAGGCCTGCCCGCATTGTTTTATCAACCCTTTTAAAGGGGGGGGGGGGTTGTACCTTAGGAATTTCTTGGTGGGGATTTGCCGCTGGGACCCTGGAAGCGTTACCCTATACCAGAGCTAGTTCAGCTGTATTTTACAACCCTATACTAGAGTAAACTCCTCAAATCCCCCCTATCCTAGAGTAGATGTTTCCCTAGTCTACATAAAATCTTCAACTGATTAGTTTCCTGAAAAATGATACCCTATTCTAGACAAAAACGCTGATTTATATACCCTATCCTAGCGTAAACTGCTTGAAAACCAGAAAACCATACCCTTCACAGCGGCACATACCTATATAGCCCATATATGGCAGTACCTCCCTCCCCGCCGGGATAAGTGGCAGCGTTTCATATAGTTTCTATTCACCAGGGCCGGGTTGTTCAAAGCAGGGTTAAGATAACCCAGGGTTAGTGCGAATTTTAAATTCAGATATAAAAGCTTAAAAAGCAAATTCAGTTTAATTCTTTTAGTCTGCAATTAGGTTATTGGATGCCCAAAAAGAATAGAAAAATTATCTAAGAAAATGCTTTAAACAAAAGAAAAAGAATCCCGGATTAAGATTTAACTCTGGGTTAGCGCTAATCGACCTTCCAACAACTAGGCCCAGTAATTTACAAACCACTTTTTTCGTCCGGTAACCATGGTAACTGGCCACTACATAAAGGATGGCCGCTTAATAGGAGACCGCTTAGTAGAGGTTCGAATGTAGTCCGCCACAAATGCCAGCGGACGAACTCTTAAATATTTCCATACTCAATCGACAGTCTACCCAATCATCATTACCAATTTCGAACCACCTAGAAGGGTCAGCTTTTTCGACTGCAGTATTACGGCAATTGCACTAGAAACAGGCCTTGTGAGTCACGTCGTGCATTCAAATCTGGTACGTATGAGGAATATCCCTCAACAGGAGACCTCGGCCTACACCTCAGCTTCAAAATTTAAATTTTCACGCAAAACAGCTCGAAAGCCACTTCCATTTTCGTCGTAAATTCAGGTATGAAATATTGAAAGAGGGATCACTTTCCAGGGAGCTCTTTCAACGCACATAATGCATTGCCTTAATATTTCGCTTTCACAAGTGTGCACAAAGTAATTCTCAGACACGACACTCAGAAAGAAAATAAACAGCGACTGGCATGGATAATTTGCTAGCCCGTAGTCGGATTTATGTAGTCAAAGTAAAATATGTTCTCGGTAAAATGTGCAACTTTCATTGTCCCTGTTACTCCGCATTGTTAGGATAACTAAAACAATATTTCTTTATTGCTTTGAAGCTCCGGGGAAAAAACACTCCAATCAGTACCAATGTCCCGTTCAATAACTGGATGAGCAAGAAAAAGGTACATCTTTAAGAAAAGTTGATCTCCTTTTTTCTTTTTCAATAATTTTAAAACTGGTCATCATCTCCGTCTTTGTTACAGGCAGAATACCCTAAAGCTAGGCTTGAGGTGTTTGGTAAGTCATATTTTATGCTTTAGTTAGTCTTAAATTCATTCAAACATTTCACTATGATGATGAAAGATACTGACCGCACAAGGAAACAGTTTAAGCAAAGAATACTACTAATGGATAGGGAGGACAAATCCTTAAAGAAGAACACCTTTATAAAGGTTATCAAGACTAAATCATTTTATCGTTTTGAGTATTTAAATTCCTTTCTTTTAGACAGCGTGGAGGAGCTTGAGAACGATCAAATCTATGAGGTACCTCGAACCATCTCATTTTGTATGTGGTTATTTCAATTACTTTTGTGCCAGGAGCTTAATGCAGCCACGTTTAAAAATTTAAATTGTAACGAAAATATGGTACGTGTTCAAAATAGCAGCCAATAAAATATTAGAACGGTGCAACTTTAAATAAGGGGATGGCAAGAAATAAATGGCACGCTTTTATAGTAAAAAATCCACTTAATACATCAATACAGTATTAGAGATTCCTTCTCTTCTCTTCCATGTATCGGTCAGTTTTGTTTTTAAGGCAAAGCGGGAGACACTACCGTTCAACAGGCCAATACTGTACACAATGTACTGATATCATTCTTTGTTTATATATAATGTTTTCCACCCTTTTTACTTACCACAAGAAACCTTGTTTTAACAGCTGGTTTTACTGCCCAAACTGAAAAAGGAAGAAGAAAACGTGGTAAGACGCGGTTTGATCTACTACAGACCAGATCTACTACACATCTACTACTTGACCTACGAGGGTAATTTAAGATTGTAGCCTTGTTTTACAGTCTGAAAACAATAGCTACACTTGTAAATTACACTTGTACAAGTTTTATTAAATTGACCCTAGTACTTTTTTTTCACACCCACTTGAGCATGTGATCCAGTCATCACTTTATCACTCAATAAACCTGACGCATGACTACTATCTAATAACGTTTAATGTGAGATTAGGGATGGTGTGTCTAATGGGAATACGATTGAACCACTTCAAAGCAAAACCTCATGGGTAGCAAGGGTGGCGCAGTGGTAAGGGGCATCCGCCTCCCACCAATGTGGCCAGGGTTCAAATCCCAGCGTCGACGCCACACGTATTTTGTTGTTAATTCTCTCCAATGCTCCCATGAGGTATGAGGTTTTTCTCTGGGAACTCCAGTTTTCTGCTCTCCTAAAAAGACCAACATTGCCAAATTCCAATTCGATCTGGAAAGCACGGACACGTTTAAGCGAGTTCCTAAGAGCTCCTAAGTGCTTCGTGGGTAAACAAATTACAATTTACAATTTTCATTGCGCGCAAACAAGTTTTAGTGAAGACAGGCCTTAATATGGGGCTCTACCGGGCGTGTGGCTGTAGCTTGTAGCACCGCAATACTTATAAGACGAGTGAGCATTCAGTATTTTATCTGTGTAGTGGCCCTCTTTGATTTCAATGAAGCAGAGGAAGACTGAACACGATTTGCTTAGGCTCCTCCAGCACAACCCATGGGAATTATAGTGTTCGATGGTCCCCAATAATGTTTTCGCTCAATCCCTTGATCCCGATGGTTGATTTCAGCATTCCACATCCTGGCATCCCGCGAATATTACCAATCCCGAATCTCGACCCCAGTTTGTTTTAGAATCCCGAATCCCGGTCTCCAGATAAGGCGAATCCCGAAAAACCTATTGGGACCCTCGTGTTCGGGCCACAAAACTCGCCTGCAGTACAGTCCAGAGTATCTTAGGTATCTTGATAACAGGGGAATTAACAAACTAGAACCATGACAGTTCATTCGTAAACGGTATGTTACTTTCTTTTCGAAACATTTACATTAACATTTTATACGGTTATTATCATTCTCAAAAGCGATCATAAATATTTACAAGGTGGAGTCATGCAGATTTAAAGAACAAGTGAGAAAACCACCTTTTCACGCATAAGTAAATCCTATACACGTTAAGTTAAAGACTTGGGCCCGGTTACTCGAAAGATGGTTAAGTTTAACCCAGGATTATTCCAAATTAGAAGCACGGTTTTTTGCCTTAGAACATGCAACTCGAGGTTACAAAATACAGTGTTGAGCCTTTACTAGGAGATACAAAAAATGTTACCCTAAGCAATGCATAGGAATGTCAAATACAAAAACGGAACAACATTTTAATGCTGGATTAACACTAATCAGCTTTTCAGGAACCAGGCCTTGAACGTTGAATTCAAATAGCGGAGAATACTATAAGGGTGATAATACATCAAACCATGGCCAGTACAAAACTAGTAGCTTGGCGGTTTTTGCGCACTTGGAAACTTTGGACAAACTAATGCAACATAATTTTCTCTTAAAAGAAAAGCAAAGAAGAGTTCCAAAGAAGGTTAATCAGGTACGTTTTGGCAGAAACAGAACGGGAACGTCAGTTGACGACGGCGCGCGCAAATTAAAGAACTGGCTTTACCAATGGCAAAGCGACAAATTGCGCACCGGAAGTCGTGTTTAGTCTTTTCTGCGCGCTTTCCCGTCGTCAAATGACGTTCCCCTTATTTTTACCAGCTCAGCCTAATGAAACCAATTCCACCATGCAAAGGGGCAGAACCAAGTGTCCACATCACAGAGCTGTCCGTATTATAGAGAGGTATGCATATTATAGAGGTGTATGTTATTGAAGTAGGTTATTGAAGTAGTAGTAGTAGTAGTAGTAGTAGAGACTGAAGAAGTTCGACGTCCTTGGACCCACAACACTCTCCGTAAAGGAGAAGTGTCCGTAATAGGGAGGTTTCTAGTAAGAAAAGTTTGAGTACACTCTGCGCTGTATATTTATAATGTTTGCTTGGTAGGTCACAGTTCTTAGGCCCTCTTAAACTGGCTTATTTCACATTTGGCTCTGGGTAAATTCCTGTGGTGTGGAGAGGTAAGCAGTTTGTTAAGCTTTTTCAAGTATTTCACAGACTGAATCATATTACTTCATACGGCTCGTATACAGAGTCATCACGGACAAGAACAAACTTGAATTCAAAGTCGTAGCTACCAATGATGACATCAAAGAATCCTTACTGGACCACAGTGATGGTAAGCTGCATTTA